AATACTCCCTCTCAGCGCCTTTTGGACAAAAATGTCCCCAAGACACACCAACATAAAAACATGCCTGCGTGAATGCACACACACACACACACACACGCACACACACACATGTCGAGTTTAGTATTAATGCTTAAATTATGAAAAACATTTAAACTGTAGGATCAGCTAAACTTGTGTGTTACGCCAGTGGTGTTTGTGAATGACATTCACGCATGTTATTCCATGTTGTAGACAATAAATACGGGAAACATACAGTTTTTTACTAAATCTAAATGGAATCAATCCATAAAATGCTTAATATTAAAGACGAACGAGTTCATATGGATGTCTTTATGTACGTTTTGAACTTTCAGAGTTTTGTGTGAACAGACAGAAATCTCTCAGATTTTATTAAAAATATCTTCATTTGTGTTACAGGAAAGAATGAGTCTTGTGTGTTTTGGAACATGAGTGAAGGATGACAGAATAACCCTTTAATAAGGCTGTCACTAATTATTATTTTGGTAATCGAGTAATCAGGCGATTATTTTGACGGTTAATTGAGTGATTAAGACCTAAGCCTTTAAAATGACTTAAAATGAACATATAATAACAATGAGGCACTTTAATATAATATAATGCACATATAATAACAATTTTTGGTTCAAATAAAGTATCAAAAGCTGGTTTTATAGAACAACACTGTCAAAATCAAATCCTTGTGTAATACTGGCCAAACAACATTTAATTCAAATGTCCTCTAAGCTTTAATATTTGCTACAGCCACTGTAATTTCTTAAACAAGAACATGTGGACATCACAACATGCAAACTCAGAGCGAAGGGTTGAACTTTTTTTTTGATATGCCGATGAACATTTAGCATAGCCATCTATTTATTTAAAGGATTAGTTCACTTTTTAAAAAACTTTTGCTGATAATTTACTCACCCCCATGTCATCCAAGATGTCCATGTCTTTCTTTCTTCAGTCGAAAAGAAATTAATGTTTTTGATGAAAACATTCCAGGATTTTTCTCCATATAATGGACTTCAATGGTAGCCAAACGGTTCAAGGTCTAAATGACCGTTTCAGTTCACCTTCAAAGGGCTTTAAACGATACCAGACGATGAATAAGGGTCTTATCTAGAGAAACAATCTGTCATTTCAAAAATAAATAAAAAAGTTAAATTGTTATAGGCACAAATGTTTGACTTGCGAACTCTCCTGTTCGAACTCGTACATCAAAATGAACGAATCTTTTTTCGAGTCATTGACTCGTTCATCAAAATGAACGAATCTTTTTTCGAGTCATTGACTCGTTCATCAAAATGAACGAATCTTTTTTCGAGTCATTGACTCATTCATCAAAATGAACGAATCTTTTTTCGAGTCATTGACTCGTTCATCAAAATTAACGAATCTTTTTTCGAGTCATTGACTCATTCATCAAAATGAACGAATCTTTTTTCGAGTCATTGACTCGTTCATCAAAATGAACGAATCTTTTTTCGAGTCATTGACTCGTTCATCAAAATGAACGAATCTTTTTTCGAGTCATTGACTCGTTCATCAAAATGAACGAATCTTTTTTCGAGTCATTGACTCGTTCATCAAAATGAACGAATCTTTTTTCGAGTCATTGACTCATTCATCAAAATGAACGAATCTTTTTTCGAGTCATTGACTCGAAAAAAGATTTGTTCATTTTGATGAACGAGTTCGAACAGGAGAGTTCGCAAGGCGAGCATTTGTGCCTATAACACTTTAACTTTTTTATTTATTTTTGAAATGACCGATCGTTTCGCTAGATAAGACCCTTATTCATCGTCTGGTATCGTTTAAAGCCCTTTGAAGCTGCACTGAAACGGTCATTTAGACCTTGAACCGTTTGGCTACCATTAAAGTCCATTATATGGAGAAAAATCCTGGAATGTTTTCATCAAAAACATTAATTTCTTTTCGACTGAAGAAAGAAAGACATGGACATCTTGGATGACATGGGGGTGAGTAAATTATCAGCAAAAGTTTTTTTAAAAGTGAACTAATCCTTTAATAGAATGGCAGCCTTTGTGAATTCACAATAGCACTATGCTATAGTATTTTAATACATCGTGCAGCCTTAGAAAACGGTCTGATAATGCGGTAAATTACTCAACATGGGTAAATTGCAATCAAGGATATTTTAAAATTGAGTACTCAAATTTATTTGAGGAATCGTGACAGCCACACCCTTTAATGTGACAAACTACGCCTGTTTGGATGCTCTGCTAGGACACCTGTGTGAACTTAAGGATAATTGACTTTTTTCATTTAAATGCTGTCTCTTTATTGAGTTCTTCGGATTTGTGTGGGCAGACCTGATTGATGTGAGCTCCTGTAGGGCCAGTCGTATGAGGCGAGCCATCGGTGTGAATCCTGTGCCGGCTGCTAACATGTAGAGATGAGTGACGTCCCGCAGGACACGCATCGTGAAGGAGCCCTCAGGGCCGCCCACTGACAGAGCGGCTCCTGGAACACACCAAACACACAGCACATGAGCTGCGAACGCTTGCTTGGGGTTTAATGCAATTCCAGCTGTCACGCTATTTTTTCAAACAGGAAAACAGGGTAAAATGTAATAAGAAATGTACCGTGAAAAAAAATCTTTTCAAAAGTGTGGGCCGAATAATACAATTTCGTCAAGAAATTTCAACCATCACAGTTATATATGTTTCAGAGAAATTATAGGGAACTTTGATAACAGGTGCAAATGATCTGGAACATACAATTATTAGAAGTGATGTTTCTTCCAAAAGGTAATAGACAAAATAGATCAAATTTAACTGACATATTAAAGCTGTGACAGGGTAAAATGTAATAAGAAATGTACCGTGAAAAAAAATCTTTTCAAAAGTGTGGGCCGAATAATACAATTTCGTCAAGAAATTTCAACCATCACAGTTATATATGTTTCAGAGAAATTATAGGGAACTTTGATAACAGGTGCAAATGATCTGGAACATACAATTATTAGAAGTGATGTTTCTTCCAAAAGGTAATAGACAAAATAGATCAAATTTAACTGACATATTAAAGCTGTGACAAGTGAATTTATAATACTATTGTATGTTATATCACAAAAAAAGTCACCGAATGTGAAACTGTCAGTATACGAATGTACTATTTATTTGCACTTTTTTTTATTTTTTTTTTAGGGCTGTCAAATGATTAATCACGATTAATCCCATCCAAAATAAAAGTTTGTGTTTACATAATATATGTGTATAATTATTTTGTATATATATATATATATATATATATATATATATATATATATATATATATATATATATAAATACACACACATGCGTGTATATTTAAGAAAAAAATATTATTTATATATAAAATATTTATATTTATATATAATATAAATTATATATAAATCTATATACAGTATATACATGAAAAAATTTCTTAAATATATACAAGCATGTGTGTGTATTTATATATATAAAATAATTATACACAGTGCACCCACATATATTATGTAAACAAAAACTTTTATTTTGGATGTGATTAATCACGATTAATCATTTGACAGCCCTAGTTTTTTTCTGTATGTGAAAAAATGGGTTAAGTGCCATTTAGACAAAAAAATAAATAAATTCAATTGAGGTACCAAACGGGAAATAGATTTGAAATATAACAGACTTAAAGTGAACTGAAAAAAAAAACAGCATAATTTTTGTTTGGTGACAGAACTCAGAGGGAAAATCTATGCATATTTTTGCATAAACAATTTATAATTTATTAATAAATACTAACCAATAGGAAGGCTGGCGAGGTGCGAGGTCAACACTCCATCAGGATAGATCTTTATCATGAGATGTACGTCTGAGCCCGTTTCAGCACTGGGTTGTGCGGGAGGTATTAGTGTCTGATCCACTGGTGTGTAGGGTTTCACAACATCTGTACCTGTTCACCAATACACACAACACCAGCCTGCTGAACACTGGTCAACTTCCATCCGGTTATTTTAGATTAGAAGAGCATTTGATGTGTGACATAAGGTGAATGATTACCCTGGACAGACGTTTTGAGGTAGACGTGTCTCCCCACAGGCACTTGCATACGTGACCCTGGAGGAAGTTGTAAACGCAAGACCTGCGTGTCATGTGTGACTTCTGTTTTTGAAACCAACACACATTCCCTGTAGAAGAGCCCTGTGATAAAACACATACTCATTTTTATGTTTTACCAAGTTATTTCTTTGATTTTTTAAATGGATGTATTTATTTGAGAGAGAGAGAGAGAGAGAGAGAGAGACCTAGAGAGAGAGAGACCTAGAGAGAGAGAGAGAGAGAGAGAGAGAGACCTAGCAGCATATTACAACAATAAAGAAATTTCACATAAAACAGGAAAGAAATGTGAAAAAAAAAAAATGCAATGAGGAGGAAATTGGGTAAACAGGCAAATGTACTATCTAACTTTTCATGAAATTATTGGTATCAGCCAAAATATCTGTTTAAACAGTCTTTTACTCTGTCTTAAAACTGTTTAACAAATAGTAATTTTAGAGTTTAAGAGTTTTCTAAGAAGGGGCAGCGGAGAAACAAACACTTTCTTTGCGAACTCAGTCCTTGTTTTAGGTACATATACAACACACTTAATAAATTTAGGCACATAACAAACGCTCACATTTTAAGTAGTCAGGAATATTTGATTGAATATGAACGCCTTAAATGGTTGTATTTAGATCTCATTTAAAATCCTGAAGTTTTGTTATATTGTGTGAACATTCCAAGAAAAGTGTTGATGTAGAAGCACAGCACTAATACATCAACATAAAAATGAGAATTTTCATTAACACTGTGTCATAAATTCATAATAGAAAAGACAAATAATAAGGGGCCCAACACCGAGCCTTGTGGCACCCCTTTAGTCCATGCTATGTTACAAAACAATGTTATTTCTCAAATGTGTTCCTATATACCTTTATCTTTACAAACTTAATTTAGATCATTGTCTGACAATTGAGTTCACAGGTTTGTTACTCACCACGATCTTTACACTGAGTAAATGTGTCATGGAGTTCCAGCGGTTGCCCCACTTTCGTCCACTTGTCTTTAACAGATTTGCGCAGACAAACCTGTACTTTTCCTACAGAGTGGGCCGTCTGGACTATAAGCAGAGAAAAATAAAAGAAACACTTATTTAGAATGAGATTTTTTTTTTCTTAATTCATAAGAAGCATTAAAATTGTCTTTTTCTTTTTCCTTTACTTATCTTTGGGGCTATTTCTGTATTTTACTAACATAAAAAAGCACCAAAAAGCACTATGTCATTACCATGTTTGTAGGATATGTCTCATAGTAACACCATGGTATTCTTTGAAGTACCATGTAAATATAATGAATCATCACCGTGGTACTGTACATTTCAAAGGACCACAGTGATATTAGCTGATTCCTTCCATGTATCATGGTACCGCCATACTGGGTTTTGTTTTGTACAGTTCTAGATTCAACAGATGTCTAATTTAACCCTCTGGGGACCAAGGTGTTTTTGGGGCCCTTGGGATGTTTTGACATGCACTGACATTTGTGCTTTTTTCAGTTATTTATAAACATGTTAATAGCAAAGGTGTAAATTCACTCTATATAGCACAAATGGGGCTACCATAATATGTGAGCAACATGTATGTACATGTTTGTATTTTTGAGAGAATATTATTTATGCATGGTTATTGAAAAACTTAAAAATAAAAGTTTCTGAAATAAGGCCACAAAACACATATTGATTATTTCTTCACAAGACTTTTGAAAATTGTATCACAGTCTCGAATATTTTCTCCAAAATTATGTGAGAATCATCCTGACTACTCATTCAGATAAGTAAATAAAGTATTTTAGAATGTGTATGATGTGTTTTGTTTGAGAAAGCTTTATGCGGGGAGGCGTGATCTCTCATTAATATGTATGGCATTCCACACCTGAGAAAGACAAAGACCCTCCCATAATGGCCCTATTAGGTGCTATCAGGCCATATCATTATCAGGAGCCTTGCACAAAGAATGAGGAGATTTAAAAAAAAGAATGGCTTTTAGATTGTTTGGATTTATTTACAACACAACATAATCCAAAGATACACAACAAAGGACTGGTTTCTGGTTAAAATTGCTTTTTAATTATATATATACACACACACACACACACACACACACTGCTTAAAATAAGTGAACACACCCATGCTAAAGTTGACTAAAAAGAGGAATAAAAAATCTTAATGCCTTAATTTAAAAAATGAGGAAAACTCCAACCTTTAGGGACATGAATAATGTCCCTGAATTATTTGTGAATGAATAATGTATCGCAAATAATTAAATGTTCTTCTTTAAAATACAGGGTGCATACGTCTGGACACTTCTATCACACACCCTTCACCATATAGACATGGTTTTATTTCAGTTCAAAGTTAGAGTTGGAAACATCTTGAAAAGAAAATTATCTTTTTCCATAAATGTCTTAGTTTGATCATACATATTTCAAAGTTGAGGATTCATTATTTTGATATACCTTGCATTGCAACAAACATCTTAGTTGATTAGTTTATTGACAAAACATAAGCTTATTTGATGTCTTTATTTTGAAGCTTATTTGATTTGAAAAACTTTATCCAAAACTAGTCAACGTATCTGTGCGTTTATTCATTCATTCATACACACACACACACACACAGAGAGAGAAACATGATTCATATTTAAACAGTATGCTATTTTTCCGTTTACAGACACTAACGTTATTCTATATCGCGATTAGAACAAAGCACAAAACACTTACACTTCTCAGCTGAATCTGTTGCTCCTCCTCGAAGTGAAAATAAACCAGCACTTTTGTGGTAAATGTCCCAGGATTATTCCTTATAGCCGCGCAAGACGAATCTTAATCTAACTAAAAAATATAGTGCGTTTACAGCATTTGCCTGGGGGCGTTTATCTATTTTGCAAATGGCCTCAACACATTATCTTATGAATCCACTCTGCGAGTGGGTGTGAACAAATTAACGATAATGAGCTGAGACAGGAGAAACTGTACTTCTCTTTAGTTTCAGACAGATTACATTGCAGGAGAATATTTGTTTTAAATGTGAATTGTTTTATTTAAAAGTAGAAATTTAAAGCGTTCTTTAGACGTATGTTTCATGTTTGTGTGATAAGTATTAGCGGAGTTTCAGTTCACTTTCCAGACATGTTTCAGAAAGATTTTTGCGGAGACAGAGTGAGCTGAAAGCGCACCCTGTTTATTTTATTTATTTTAAAAAAAACAAGGTTTTGATGTTAATGTGAGTGTACACAAAAAAAGAAGACCCTCTATAGTTTATAATCATGTATTGATTTTATGTATATGACCATAAATGACGGAGTATTTTAAGTCTATGTTGCTGCTATGTGAAAAAAAAAACAGCAAAACGCGCCGGCGCGTTTGCCGTCCCCAGAGGATTAACATACTACTCACCATCAACACGTCCTTGAACTTCACTGGACAGGCCTGAAAAAGAAACAGTGTTATCAACTTGATAACTGTGTTAGCAGATACACAACAATGTTCATGTCTGGAGAAAGACTCACGCCAGTAGAGAAGGTACGACATCTTCCCCAAGAGCATCTCCACCCGAAGAGTCTCGCCCTGTAGATCCACAACTGCACAGCCGGAGCTGGGAATCTGGAGAGGGGAGAACAATAGTGTTTGACTTTCCTTTTACATCTGAGAGAAGACAACCACATAACCACTGCACTTTACCAACCTTTCGCTTGGTGTAAACAACAATATTGACAGTGGCTTCTGTCTGGAACCAATCATACCTAGAGATGAAAAAAAAAATGCTATTTAATTTGAATAAAACACTAATATTTTTAGAGTGCTGTAAGACTGACAGCACAACAAACTCTCACTTTGAAGCCCAAAAAAGTGCATCAATCCATCATAAAAGTAATCCATACGCTTCCATGGGGTTAATAAAGGCCTTCTGAAGAAAAGCAATGCGGTTGTGTAAGAAAAATATCCATATTTATTATAGCTTTATCAACTAAAATAACTACTGTAGGGTGAACAATCCCTTTAAGTCAGTGCATGTCCGTGGACACCTTTCAGTAAGGTGAATTTCTGTCCACATTTTGTTTAGATATGATATGAATACTTGGGAATGTCGTTGTTGTGCCGCCAGAAGGAATCATGCCATACCGTAGATTTCTGTGAAACTGTATAATAATAGTGATATAATGAAAGTCAAACACACCGAGGGCGATGATCTTTGGCGGGGAGAGGAGCAGATAACGGCTCCAGTCTTAAGGGTGGAGGAGCAGACAAACCTGGTGTGAAGAGTATCAAACACACAATTACTGCTCATGAGTCAAAGAAGTCATGAAGGATTGGCGTTTATAACTAGAAATCCACATGGCTGTCATACCGTTCACATGAGTGCTCTCAGTCTTCTCCGTCTGAGCTGTAATAACCAAAGAACCATGTAATTAAAACATAAAAAAAAGCTTATTTTGGGTTTGATTCTGAACATTTCAGGTTAAAATCAAACAACAGCATCTGTTAAAGCTGCAGTCCGCAGGTTTTCCTCTCTGTCGCCATCTCTGTTCGAACTCTGCAATTGCAGTCATTCGCGGAATTATCAACTTTACGTGAGTTGTGCCTCGACACGGCACAGCGCGGATGAACTCAGTGTTTGAGGAGAGTGTGTGTGTCAGTCACTGCGCCGGTGTGGATACTGGCATTCAGGATCACAGATTATTCTTTTTGGAAGTATGACCAACATAATAATTTTCACCGGAAAATGTCCTCTGAACAAGTGAGTAACATCCACTTTTATTCTGGTTCTGACATTGCAGTAAATCGCGCTGATTAAATCTAACAGTCGCTTTATAAGTTATCATATCACGCAAAACCGTGCAAATTATACTTTGTTCTCAAATTGTTAATGTTCAACGTCAGCAGTGCGTGACTATAGATGTAATGTCCTTCCGATATTATCCTGGTTTCCGCATGGGCCATTCCAGTCTCTTTTTCTGTCGCCACTCCGAAGTCCGAACGAAGTCTTCTGTATGTTACAGCGGGCGAGTCTGCTGTCGCTGGTGATCATCGTTTGAACCTTTCTGGATCCGCCATCAAATTAATAAGTTTAATTATGTCAAGTGCTGTGAGAAAAGGCTATAAATCTCCTCCAGCATCCTCACACTCACAGCCGACTAGCCGAGACTCTTCTTTATGTGGACAGGTGTGTGTGTGCAGATGTGTGTGTGCAGATGTGTGTGTGCAGATGTGTGTGTGCAGATGTGTGTGTGCAGATGTGTGTGTGCAGATGTGTGTGTATAGATGTGTGTATAGATGTGTGTGTGCAGATGTGTATGTGTGTGTGTGCAGATGTGTGTGTGCAGATGTGTGTGTGCAGATGTGTGTGTGCGCAGATGTGTGTGTGTCCAGATGTGTGTGTGCAGATGTGTGTGTACAGATGTGTGTGTGCAGATGTGTGTGTGCAGATGTGTGTGTGCAGATGTGTGTGTATAGATGTGTGTGTGCAGATGTGTGTGTGCAGATGTGTGTGTACAGATGTGTGTGTGCAGATGTGTGTGTATAGATGTGTGTGTGCAGATGTGTGTGTGCAGATGTGTGTGTATAGATGTGTGTATAGATGTGTGTGTGCAGATGTGTATGTGTGTGTGTGCAGATGTGTGTGTGCAGATGTGTGTGTGCAGATGTGTGTGTGCGCAGATGTGTGTGTGTCCAGATGTGTGTGTGCAGATGTGTGTGTACAGATGTGTGTGTGCAGATGTGTGTGTGCAGATGTGTGTGTGCAGATGTGTGTGTATAGATGTGTGTGTGCAGATGTGTATGTGTGTGTGTGCAAATGTGTGTGTGCAGATGTGTGTGTGCAGATGTGTGTGTGCGCAGATGTGTGTGTGTCCAGATGTGTGTGTGCAGATGTGTGTGTGCAGATGTGTGTGTGCAGATGTGTGTGTGTGCAGATGTGTGTGTTTGCAGATGTGTGTGTGCAGATGTGTGTGTGCAGATGTGTGTGCGCAGATGTGTGTGCGCAGATGTGTGTGTGTGCAGATGTGTGTGTGCGCAGATGTGTGTGTGCGCAGATGTGTGTGTGCAGATGTGTGTGTGTACAGATGTGTGTGTGCAGATGTGTGTGTGCAGATGTGTGTGTGCAGATGTGTGTGTGTGCAGATGTGTGTGTGTGCAGATGTGTGTGTACAGATGTGTGTGTGCAGATGTGTGTGTGTGCAGATGTGTGTGTGTGCAGATGTGTGTGTGTGTGCAGATGTGTGTGTGCGCAGATGTGTGTGTGCACTGATGTGTGTGTGCGCAGATGTGTGTGCGCAGATGTGTGTGTGCAGATGTGTGTGTGCAGATGTGTGTGTGCAGATGTGTGTGTACAGATGTGTGTGTGCGCAGATGTGTGTGTGCAGATGTGTGTGTGTGCAGATGTGTGTGTGCGCAGATGTGTGTGCGCAGATGTGTGTGTGTGCAGATGTGTGTGTGCAGATGTGTGTGTACAGATGTGTGTGTGCAGATGTGTGTGTATGCAGATGTGTGTGTGTGCAGATGTGTGTGTGCGCAGATGTGTGTGCGCAGATGTGTGTGTGTGCAGATGTGTGTGTGCAGATGTGTGTGTACAGATGTGTGTGTGCAGATGTGTGTGTATGCAGATGTGTGTGTGCAGATGTGTGTGTGCAGATGTGTGTGTGTGCAGATGTGTGTGTGCAGATGTGTGTGTGTGCAGATGTGTGTGTGCAGATGTGTGTGTGCAGATGTGTGTGTGTCCAGATGTGTGTGTGCGCAGATGTGTGTGTGCGCAGATGTGTGTGTGTGCAGATGTGTGTGTGTGCAGATGTGTGTGTGCGCAGATGTGTGTGTGCGCAGATGTGTGTGTACAGATGTGTGTGTGCGCAGATGTGTGTGTGCGCAGATGTGTGTGCGCAGATGTGTGTGTACAGATGTGTGTGTGTGCAGATGTGTGTGTGTGCAGATGTGTGTGTGTGTGTGCAGATGTGTGTGTGCGCAGATGTGTGTGTGTCCAGATGTGTGTGTGCAGATGTGTGTGTGCAGATGTGTGTGTGCAGATGTGTGTGTGTGCAGATGTGTGTGTTTGCAGATGTGTGTGTGCAGATGTGTGTGTGCAGATGTGTGTGCGCAGATGTGTGTGCGCAGATGTGTGTGTGCAGATGTGTGTGTACAGATGTGTGTGTACAGATGTGTGTGTGCGCAGATGTGTGTGTGTGTGCAGATGTGTGTGTGCAGATGTGTGTGTGTGCAGATGTGTGTGCGCAGATGTGTGTGTGTGCAGATGTGTGTGTCCAGATGTGTGTGTGCAGATGTGTGTGTCCAGATGTGTGTGTGTGTACAGATGTGTGTGTACAGATGTGTGTGTGCAGATATGTGTGTACAGATGTGTGTGTGCAGATGTGTGTGTGCAGATATGTGTGTGCAGATGTGTGTGCGCAGATGTGTGTGTGTGCAGATGTGTGTGTACAGATGTGTGTGTGCAGATGTGTGTGTCCAGATGTGTGTGTGTGTACAGATGTGTGTGTACAGATGTGTGTGTACAGATGTGTGAGTGCAGATGTGTGTGTGCAGATATGTGTGTACAGATGTGTGTGTGCAGATGTGTGTGTACAGATGTGTGTGTGCAGATGTGTGTGTGCGCAGATGTGTGTGTGTACAGATGTGTGTGTACAGATGTGTGTGTGTACAGATGTGTGTGTGTGCAGATGTGTGTGTACAGATGTGTGTGTGCAGATGTGTGTGTCCAGATGTGTGTGTCCAGATGTGTGTGTACAGATGTGTGTGTGTACAGATGTGTGTGTGCAGATGTGTGTGTACAGATGTGTGTGTGTACAGATGTGTGTGTGTGCAGATGTGTGTGTACAGATGTGTGTGTGCAGATGTGTGTGTCCAGATGTGTGTGTCCAGATGTGTGTGTACAGATGTGTGTGTGTGCAGATGTGTGTACAGATGTGATGTAATGACGCAAACACATGCTCGAACCTCCCGCTGAAATCCACCAGCACCACTGGAGTTAAAAACATTATTACAAGTTTACCGCTGTGAATCGAGCTACGGCAAGCAGAGAGTGTTGAACACTGGCTGGTTATGCATTTTCTCAAATATGTATTTTGGATAATTTTTAACCCGAAAAAAGCTACAGATTGCAGCTTTAATCAGAACAGAAAATTGTTTCAGCCCAGAAACGACTGATTATTGGATTTCCAGATCATGAGACAATATGTTTGTATGAAAATAATGATATGTTTCCATCTGGCTGAAGTCTTTTCTACTGGTAGAAGTGCGGACAGAACCTTGAGGAGCGGGACCGAGCTTCACTGCCATCCGGCCCACCAGACACTCCTTCAGCATGGACTCGTAGTTCACCCACCGGTGCACCTTTGTGCACAAATACAGTAACACAGCCCTTATAAACCATCTACAAACTGTTAGCTTTCATTTGATTCATAGTTCATAAATTGCAGTCTTTACATTGTTGATACATTAATAGACAGTGAGGTCTTCATTCAGTGTCATTGTAATTATTATTGTTTATTTAGCTCATATGTAAAGAGTTAGATAATGTGTGTTATCCTTTAACAACTTGTTAACCATACCTAACAGATGTACAGCATTTTATTTAATATTTATTAATTATTTTGTTAATGTTTATTAGGAGTAAATAGACTGCCCTTATTGTTTATATGTAGATATGCAACTAAATTTTGTATGTTTGGATGCATGCCAAAATGTACAATACAGCAATAGAAATAAAAAATATTTACAAATTATTTATATCATTATACTCCTTAATCCTGTTATCAAAGCTAAACATAACATTTTTTTCTATAAAAAGTAATAAGCAGAAACATTTACAGTAACAATCATTTTTAGTTACTGTAAAAAATAGATATTTTTGAGCACCGGAAATAAATGTTATAATGACGTAATTGACTGAAACAATGTCATTGATCACAAATTCCATAGAATGCACCGATTAATTCCATGAATTCAATGATCATAGATTATTTAAGGATTTGTAAACATTCGTACATCAGTAAAGCTGTTCATACATAAATTATTTACGTTTTAGATGCTGTTAAAACTGTATGTTTTTGTGTCTACACAAACTCATTTGCAACTTTAAAGGACATTAATGGTTCTTAAAATGTTAACAAATACATTAAGCATAAATTCACTTAATAATACATAAAGATTTCCTTACACTTGTTATTTATTACTATAAACTGAATAACTTTTAAATGTTTTAATGAACTACTAGCATTTACAGGTACAAAAACAGACTAGCTCTTTACAAATGAGCTAATTAAACAATGATCATTTGAAAATTAAAATGATAATAAATTAAAGGGGTCATGAACTGGCTTTTTACATTTTTTTATATTGTTGTCTGAGGTCAACTTATGACGTTCGCTTGGTTTTTACATTCAAAAACATCCAAATTAATAAGTAATAGTCTATTTTCTACCCTAGTTTTGAGCCTAGCTCAAAATGCTCGGTTTTTATGGGCGTCTCGCATTGAAGACTTGGAAGTAAACGCCCACTGCTGTGAGTGGATAACAGTTTTGCATATTATAATGAGTTTCGTGTAATGCGCGAATCGGTGGGCGGGGCTAAACCGGCCGTGTTGAAGTAGGCGTTGATCTTCTTCTGCGGGGGTGGTGTTTTATCCTCTTTGTCGTCATAGTTCCCCACTTTGAAAAACGAGTCGTTTGCTGAGCCTGGTGTCAATAAAAGCTTTTATTGGACTAACAAGGACGTTTTCAGTTCTGAAACTTACAGGATATTCTTATAATATGATGACCTCTTAGATGTCAAAAGCTCAAGGAAAATTTGATTTCTCAGTTCATCACCCCAAATGACTTGCAAGTACTTTACACTGTAAGCATTCCAGATTAAAACAGACTATTTCCTGAAACCAGCATGCAAGGACTTTACCTGGTCAAACAGGTCAGTGCTATCAATCCCAGCAGCCCTCATTAGCTCCGCCTCCCCACCAGGATGGAAATCCATGTACGCACTCACGTTATAGACCATTCCTACAGCAAACACACAAACACAGGGAGTCATGTGTGCATGAGAACGATACAGCCTGGAGAGGAGGAAGACACAAACAAACACTGGTGGGGTTGATGGAGATGTGATCTCTTGTTATTGGATTGATGAAGCATTAGAAAATGAGACCATTCTAAAAAAAATAAAAAATACTCGCAAAAAGAAATACTGAGACAAGACAGTGCCAACAAGATCAAATCAGCATTAAACGATAGTTGCTCTAGTTTTTCTTCTCTAGTGTGCCGTATTTCAGGGTGAAAAGCTTCTGGAACAAGAAAAAATGGGCGGGGCTTGATTGTGTCTGTGGGGAATTGATTGGATGGTTGTGGTTTGCTATTGGTGGATCTCATGTGAGTGACAGGTTATAGCCCCGCCCTCGTCATCAGAGAAGAGAAGAGATCATCAAAAATAATAATGATATGGATTAATAATTTATAATAAACACTGCAATATCCCATTAAAAGTAAGAATAGTCAATTTAGATTTCATGGGGACTTTAATACAATATCAAAATATATTTACAAAAGTTGAGTACTTTTCTGTATGAAAGTAAAACTTGCATGTGTGATCATGTAAATATATTATATACACACACACACACACACACACACACACACACAGTATATTATGCTCACCAAGGTTGTATTTAAAAAATAAAAACAGTAATATTTTGAAATATTATTAAAATATAAAATACTTATTCTATGTTATTAAACTAATTTATTCCTGTGATCAAAGCTGAATTTTCAGCATCATTACTCCAGTCTTCAGTGTCACATGACCCTTCAGAAATCACTCTAATATGATTTAGAGCTCAAGAAACGTTTATGATTATTGTCACTGTTGAATACAGTTGTGCTGTTAAATATTTGAGGTTGTACCTCTAATGCAGGTCCAGCAGTCATTCCTGGTGTTGTGTTTCTTCAGCTCGTCTTCGGTCACCTCGATCAGTCTTCCTCTCAGTCCGGTCAGGTCGCGGCCACTCTTGGTCAGTCGGATCCAGTCCAGCAGACTGTGCCCGGGCTTCAGTGCCACCTGGATTCATCACACACACACACACGTCTGGTCCACTGTCTTTGTGGGGACTCTCCATAGACGTAATGATTTTTATACTGTACAAACTGTATAGTCTATCCCCTTACACTAACCCTACCCATTACAAAAAACTTTCTGCTCTTTTACATTTTCTAAAAAACATAATTTAGTATGTTCATTAATCAATTTCCCTCGCGGGGACCATTGGCTAGTCCTCACAATGTAGGTGATTTCACGTTTTACTATTCTTGTGGGGATATTTGGTCCTCACAATGTAAAAATGAGCACACATACACACACACACAGCATATTTACAACTGCATTCAGACACAGACGCATTTAAATCACCCTTTAAATCAGTATCAATGACAACAGCGTAGGATCTAACCTTATTCCTGGACTGTCCGGCTGGAGAGACTCTCTGCTGGGATCCGGCTGATGGGAAACTCTGCGACGGCACGTTCAACATCTCTGATGCTCTAAAACAACCCCAGTTCCTGACAAAACCTGCCCGAACACACTGGATATCACTAATCAGGAGCTAAACATAGATAAATAAAAACTGGCAAAAGTACACCGAGTGCCACTGATCGTGGGAGTTTATTTGTGAGGAGGAGGAGGAAGTGTTATGAAAGTGTTATAATGAGCTCCGACTTCCTTATTTTGGCAGGTGGCTTTATTATTATTATTATTATTATTATTTAGATCTATCAAACATGACAACATGGTCCAATTCAGCTGCTCTAAAAACACACCGATATAAGAGAAAAGTAATAAGCAGTAGCGATGACACTGCTGTCATAACAGCACCTGCAGCGGCACTATCCTAGCGCTCGAGAAACTGTCGCGGATATATGACGTCATTGTTGTGCTCGGGCGACCATAAAGACTTCATAATTAAAGTCAATTCTATGACAAATATAATATATAAAAGCCCTGTCAAAATTAAAAGATGGGATTTTGCTGGATTTAGTTGATAAATATATTTAATTTTTTTTTATTTGTATAAAATTTTCTTAATCCCCCCTGTGTTGATCTTGTAATCATTGATATGGGTCTTATTGTGTTTTTGGAAGGATATTATTTATTATTTTAAACCTCTGCTGTGCATATATTTTATTTATTTATTTATTTTTACAGCTCCAAACGTACAAACAGAAGCAGTGATGCGTGTATCAATGACTTTGTCTGTGTACTATTTGAATTAACATACATGTATTATTTCTGACATCTACCAGATGTCTCTCAGATGTTTCCAACTAAACTAAACTCGAAACATTCAGAAACAAAATCTGTTACGATGGATGAATAATATAATACCAATGACGTATGGTCATTATTCCAGCTGATCTTTAGCCTAATGCAAACAGCGAACAGTTGCCAGTGTTTGAAACAAGAGCAACTACTATCTCCACAAACACACTCTTTCTTAAACTTGGCTATTATTATGTATTTAAAAACTCACCAGACAAAACACTGGAGATGACAGAAAAGACTGTTGAAATGTTCCCTCTGATTCCAGCTCTATAATCTTCCTCCTCCTCTTCCTCAAAGTCCTCTTCATCTTCCTTTAACATTCCAATGATATAACTTTCATGATCAGTGGTTTTAAAAAGATTACACCTAATTATCAGTCAGATCAAACAAATGCATGGCTTTATATTTTAAATAAATGCGGATCTTGCATGACTTGTATTATTGGCGAATCTGTTAAATCCCACCAATAGGAACTATAGAGATTATCCTGAGTGACACAGGACTTCAAAGAAGCAGTTAAGACTTCAAAATAAAAGTCTTAGTCCTAAAGAAAGAATCAAAGTTTTAAAATGTGCTCTAATGCCATTGTGAAACCTCAAACATCCTCTTATGTCCTTCCAATGTAAATCAAACACTCATATTTTGTATGAATGGGATCCAGAAGAAATACAAACTCTGAATCCTTGAGTTGTACATTTTTGCATTGGCCGAAATTTTAGGCTACTTTTAACAAATTCTTTGATCAATTGATCAATATGCATCTTTACATGAAGGGGTTTCTTGGGTTCAGTTATCAGTTCATTCCCTGAGAGAGAGAAGAATAACTCTTTCTATTGGACACTTCATTTCTCTGATTCTGACACAATATAGATGGCCTCAAAAAAGTCATGGACTTAAAATACAAATGTCTATTCAAATGTTAGTTATGCATTCTCACTAACTGATAAAAATTGTAATTAATAATCATGAAAAATATCATTATTTCCTAATGCAGTATAAAGTGCATTGATCTGTCCTGCTTTCCCCAAAACACGGCAAGCCTAAGTAGATCGGAGATGCTGGTTTCTAGTTTCTATGTTTTGCCGTGGGAAACGCCTGCACTGGTTAGTATTATCTTTTACTTTTTGCAGTCACAGAAATATTTGGTGTTTAATCGGCACAGAATGAGTCATGTGAAAGGTGTTTTTCCAACATGAATGCAGCTTGAAGGAGACGCTTTTGATAGTTTTGTCACAGACCTGAAGATGAAGGCTAAAACTGGTCATTTACATTGTCTTGTCTTGTCTTGTTTATGTTTTTAGCACTGTTAAAACCAACCAAAGTTGAATAGTAGTGCTTTACATTAAAATTCTGAAATAAGGACACGCATTGACCAATAAAACTACAACATATAAAAACGCAAAATTTAACTGTTACGCGCTAAACATTAAATGATGTTGTAAGGTTCTGGAGGGGTTATGTGGGATTAAAAGGTTTGCCAGATACGGTGGGATCTGGTTATTTAAAGATGTATACACCAACAATAAAAGTGTGTAATTCTAAGATGGACAGGAAGCCATTTTAGCGAAGGAAATACAGGAGTGATTGATTAGTGTTTCTTTACCCTCCTTAAAGGGACAGTTCACCCAAAAATGAAAATGATCCCATGATTTACTCAAGCGTTCCTAGGTGTATATGACATTCTTCTGTCAGCCAAACACAATCTGAGTTATATTAAAACATGTCCTGGCTCTTCCAAGCTTTATAATGGCAGTGCATGACCGTTTGTCTTTGGAAGTCCATCAAAGCGCATCCATCCGTGATAAACAACGTAATGACGAACGCGGTTGCCCAGCCCTGTTAGTCTGAACCGTGAGATTGCCGTCATTGCGTTGTGTGTCCAGTTCAAGGGTTACTCTTTTGGCGTAAATCGATGCGTACTGTCGTCTGCCGGAAGCTAGTAATTTTAGTGGATATTGGATATTTTTCTTACACTAACACATCTCTTCACTTCAGAAGGCCTTTATTAAAGGTCCCCTGACATGGGGTTATTATTTTATAATGTTTCCTGGGTTGCCCTTATAATGTTAGTATGTTTTTTAGATCAAAAATAGTCATAATTTAGAAATAAAAGGGATTTTTCCTAGCCTGATTTTAGCCTCTGATTTGAACGCTCTGTTTGAAGGGGCGTGTCTGCTGTGGGATTCAGTGTAACCCAGGAAACATTATAAAATAATAAAAATAACCCCATGTCAGGGGACCTTTAAGCTCATGTAGTCATTTTATAGCTTCATCTATTGATTCTAAAGCGTACCTTTATATTACCTTTATATATTTATTCATTTAAACTCTGCGTAATAATAATTGATGAACTAAAATTGTACATGCGTGATCGATTAAGCATTACTAAAAGCCATACGATTTTGTCTTTAAAAATCATTTGCTATGTAGTGACCTTTAATGTGGAGTAGAAACAGGTGGAGTGACTTTAGCGCATCAGACATGTGACACTTTGCTCACAGCTGATTGGTCCAAATTCGGTTTGCAACCTCTTACCTGGAGCATCACCTGACCCGGGCCAGATTAGCAGTGGAGCATGAGTTACTGGCGATGAACACTGCTAAAAGCCAAACCACTGTCATGGTGCCTAAAACCCAGGGTTGGCGCAAACTAAACTGAAACACACCTATAGTCACCTAACCCGGCTTCATGGTATAGGCCCTGGTCTTGTCTTCTCTAGTGTGCCGTATATCAGAGTGAAACGCTTCTGGAACAAGAACAAATGTGGGCGGGGCTTGATTGTGTCTGTGGGGAATTGATTGGCTGGTTGTAGTTTGCTATTGGCTGATCTCATGTGAGTGACAGGTTATAGCCCCGCCCTCATCATCAGAGAAGAGAAGAGATTGGAGAGATGTCGCTGCAAGAGGGATGGGAAGTTATTCTGATTCAAGATTACCATAAACATGCATATAAAAAAAATGTGCATGGATAAATTATTTTATTTATAATAAAAACTGGAATATTCCATAATTTTTTTTTTTTTTTTAAATCATGGTGACTTTCTAATCAATAAATGGGAATAACCTAACCATGCGTGGATTTATTTCTTTAGTAATGAGATATATCATAAATCAAACAATTTTCAGTAAGTAACCTCCAGAACAAGCACCTCTTATTAACACCATGATATAGTAAACAACTGGTCATTAAAAATTAGATGTTTGTTCAAGTATCAACATTAAATTATCTTTCTAAGGCACTTGTACTTTAATGGCAATGAATCACAGTATTTTTCTGATGGAGCAATTATATCCCAGGAAACATTCATTTAATAAGTTGACTTGAGATGACACAATGTAGGCCCTAATTTATTAACACTTCATAATATGACCGACAAATTGAAACTGAAAAAAAAAAAAAAGATGCGTGGGACATACATATACCAATCTTTTTTTTTTTCTTTTTTTTCTTTTTTTACATGTTATTGAACTGTTTTTGTTATTAATATTATTTTTAAAATGTGTAATTGAGAGGTGTTTTTTGTTCTCGGTCATGAGAGCAGAAGTTATGCTCTGCTGCCCTCTGGCGTTTACAAACACACACACACATTCAGCCTGGATAGCTTTATATGATTAGCTTGAATGTAATGAAGAAATGACAGAAACCGTCGATATACTGTTTTCTCTTGAGTAATGCTAGAAAAATAAGACAACCCTGCTTTTTTCCCCAGCTCTGTTTAACTACTAAAGTGATCAAATGACACTGGAGGTAAAATTTGTTTGTTCGTTAGCCTATTAGAGACATAACTTTTGTGTGTTTTTAACTCAAACGGTGAAGCTTTAAAGACAGCACACTTCGTTTTTCTACTTTTTTTAATTTCATTTTTTAATATAAAATTTTAATAAAATTGTTGTTTTTGTGAACTATTCCTATACCGAACACACACTGCAGGCCATTTATTAATTGACGTCTATTCTGGAATACATGCTTGTGCTTGCATGCTTTGTTTTTTTCCTTGTCTGTACAACAGCAGAGCGTAACATTCTAATGACGTCATCACGCGGAGCTGCAGTTATTACAGTTACAGCCGAACATTCTAATGACGTCATCACGCGGAGCTGCAGTTATTACAGTTACAGCCGAACATTCTAATGACGTCATCACGCGGAGCTGCAGTTATTACAGTTACAGCCGAACATTCTAATGACGTCATCACGCGGAGCTGCAGTTATTACAGTTACAGCCGAACATTCTAATGACATCATCATGCGGAGCTGCAGTTATTACAGTTACAGCCGAACATTCTAATATCGTCATCACGCGGAGCTGCAGTTATTACAGTTACAGCCGAACATTCTAATGACATCATCACGCGGAGCTGCAGTTATTACAGTTACAGCCGAACATTCTAATATCGTCATCACGCGGAGCTGCAGTTATTACAGTTACAGCCGAACATTCTAATGACGTCATCACGCGGAGCTGCAGTTATTACAGTTACAGCCGAACATTCTAATATCGTCATCACGCGGAGCTGCAGTTATTACAGTTACAGCCGAACATTCTAATATCGTCATCACGCGGAGCTGCAGTTATTACAGTTACAGCCGAACATTCTAATGACGTCATCACGCGGAGCTGCAGTTCTTACAGTTACAGCCGAACATTCTAATGACGTCATCACGCGGAGCTGCAGTTATTACAGTTACAGCCGAACATTCTAATATCGTCATCACGCGGAGCTGCAGTTATTACAGTTACAGCCGAACATTCTAATATCGTCATCACGCGGAGCTGCAGTTATTACAGTTACAGCCGAACATTCTAATATCGTCATCACGCGGAGCTGCAGTTATTACAGTTACAGCCGAACATTCTAATGTCGTCATCACGCGGAGCTGCAGTTATTACAGTTACAGCCGAACATTCTAATGTCGTCATCACGCGGAGCTGCAGTTATTACAGTTACAGCCGAACATTCTAATGACGTCATCACGCGGAGCTGCAGTTATTACAGTTACAGCTGAACATTCTAATATCGTCATCACGCGGAGCTGCAGTTCTTACAGTTACAGCCGAACATTCTAATGACGTCATCATGCGGAGCTGCAGTTATTACAGTTACAGCCGAACATTCTAATGACGTCATCACGCGGAGCTGCAGTTATTACAGTTACAGCCGAACATTCTAATATCGTCATCACGCGGAGCTGCAGTTATTACAGTTACAGCCGAACATTCTAATGACGTCATCATGCGGAGCTGCAGTTATTACAGTTACAGCTGAACATTCTAATGACGTCATCACGCGGAGCTGCAGTTATTACAGTTACAGCCGAACATTCTAATGACGTCATCACGCGGAGCTGCAGTTATTACAGTTACAGCCGAACATTCTAATATCGTCATCACGCGGAGCTGCAGTTATTACAGTTACAGCCGAACATTCTAATGACGTCATCATGCGGAGCTGCAGTTATTACAGTTACAGCCGAACATTCTAATATCGTCATCACGCGGAGCTGCAGTTATTACAGTTACAGCCGAACATTCTAATATCGTCATCACGCGGAGCTGCAGTTCTTACAGTTACAGCCGAACATTCTAATATCGTCATCACGCGGAGCTGCAGTTATTACAGTTACAGCCGAACATTCTAATATCGTCATCACGCGGAGCTGCAGTTATTACAGTTACAGCTGAACATTCTAATGACATCATCACGCGGAGCTGCAGTTCTTACAGTTACAGCCGAACATTCTAATATCGTCATCACGCGGAGCTGCAGTTATTACAGTTACAGCCGAACATTCTAATATCGTCATCACGCGGAGCTGCAGTTATTACAGTTACAGCCGAACATTCTAATATCGTCATCACGCGGAGCTGCAGTTCTTACAGTTACAGCCGAACATTCTAATGACGTCATCACGCGGAGCTGCAGTTATTAAAGTTACAGCCGAACATTCTAATGACGTCATCACGCGGAGCTGCAGTTATTACAGTTACAGCCGAACATTCTAATGACGTCATCACGCGGAGCTGCAGTTATTAAAGTTACAGCCGAACATTCTAATGACGTCATCACGCGGAGCTGCAGTTATTACAGTTACAGCCGAACATTCTAATATCGTCATCACACGGAGCTGCAGTTATTACAGTTACAGCCGAACATTCTAATATCGTCATCACGCGGAGCTGCAGTTATTACAGTTACAGCCGAACATTCTAATATCGTCATCACGCGGAGCTGCAGTTATTACAGTTACAGCCGAACATTCTAATGTTATTACATCATTGGAACACAGTAGTGTTGCTTTACTCTGTCGTTTCTGTGTGCGACAAACAAGATTTGATGTCTTATCTTGAAGGCCAATCTCTTGAAATGCACAAAATAATTAACTTTAATGTGAAAATTAAAATCGCAAAAACATATTTCTAAATCTCTAACACTGCCTCTAAATCTCCCCGCCCTGGCCGCCTGCACATCCTGATTCGCCCTGGCCGCCTGCACATCCTGATTCGCCCTGGCCGCCTGCACATCCTGATTCGCCCTGGCCGCCTGCACACCCTGCTCCGCCCTGGCCGCCTGCACATCCTGCTCCACCCTGGCCTCCTGCACATCCTGCTCCGCTCTGGCCGCCTGCACATCCTGCTCCGCCCTGGCCGCCTGCACATCCTGCTCCGCCCTGGCCGCCTGCACAACCTGCTCCGCTCTGGCCGCCTGCACATCCTGCTCCGCCCTGGCCGCCTGCACATCCTGCTCCGCCCTGGCCGCCTGCACAACCTGCTCCGCTCTGGCCGCCTGCACATCCTGCTCCGCTCTGGCCGCCTGCACATCCTGCTCCGCCCTGGCCGCCTGCACATCCTGCTCCGCCCTGGCCGCCTGCACAACCTGCTCCGCTCTGGCCGCCTGCACATCCTGCTCCGCTCTGGCCGCCTGCACATCCTGCTCCGCCCTGGCCGCCTGCACAACCTGCTCCGCCCTGGCCGCCTGCACATCCTGCTCCGCCCTGGCCGCCTGCACATCCTGCTCCGCCCTGGCCGCCTGCACATCCTGCTCCGCCCTGGCCGCCTGCACATCCTGCTCCGCCCTGGCCGCCTGCACAACCTGCTCCGCCCTGGCCGCCTGCACATCCTGGGTTTTTAAGGGTTTTAAATTAAAGAACTCAGGAGAAACAAGGGTTTTAATTAAAGAACTTAAAACAAGGGTTTTAATTACATCCTGCTCCGCCCTGGCCGCCTGTACATCCTGCTCCGCCCTGGCCGCCTGTACATCCTGCTCCGCCCTGGCCGCCTGCACATCCTGCTCCGCCCTGGCCGCCTGCACATCCTGCTCCACCCTGGCCCCCTGCACATCCTGCTCCGCCCTGGCCCCCTGCACATCCTGCTCCGCCCTGGCCCCCTGCACATCCTGCTCCACCCTGGCCGCCTGCACATCCTGCTCCGCCCTGGCCGCCTGCACATCCTGGTCCGCCCTGGCCCCCTGCACATCCTGCTCCGCCCTGGCCGCCTGCACAACCTGCTCCGCCCTGGCCGCCTGCACATCCTGCTCCGCCCTGGCCGCCTGCACATCCTGCTCCGCCCTGGCCGCCTGCACATCCTGCTCCGCCCTGGCCGCCTGCACATCCTGCTCCGCCCTGGCCGCCTGCACATCCTGCTCCGCCCTGGCCGCCTGCACAACCTGCTCCGCCCTGGCCGCCTGCACATCCTGCTCCGCCCTGGCCCCCTGCACATCCTGCTCCGCCCTGGCCGCCTGCACAACCTGCTCCGCCCTGGCCGCCTGCACATCCTGCTCCGCCCTGGCCGCCTGCACATCCTGCTCCGCCCTGGCCGCCTGCACATCCTGCTCCGCCCTGGCCGCCTGCACATCCTGCTCCGCCCTGGCCGCCTGCACATCCTGCTCCGCCCTGGCCGCCTGCACATCCTGCTCCGCCCTGGCCGCCTGCACATCCTGCTCCGCCCTGGCCGCCTGCACATCCTGCTCCGCCCTGGCCGCCTGCACATGCTGCTCCGCCCTGGCCGCCTGCACAACCTGCTCCGCCCTGGCCGCCTGCACATCCTGCTCCGCCCTGGCCGCCTGCACAGCCTGCTCCGCCCTGGAGGCTTCCTGCTCCGGATTGGCCACGCCCTCGTTATCCTCCAGGACGCCCACCCCTATTGAAGTTATACGGCGCGAGGATGCGCCTTTTTTGGAGGGGGCGTTGTTACATGTATGTCCTGTGTTTCCCCCTGCATTGTGTTTTTGGTTCAGTCTTGTGTCCCAGTTTTCCCGCTATTTTTCAGTGTATTCACCTGTGTTGAGTTCATTTGCCCCAGCTGTGTCTTGTTTCCTTTTCATTCCTCTGTGTATTTAAGTTCCTCTCTTGTCAGTGTTCAGTGTCGGTTATTGTTTGTAGTTGGTGTTAGAATGGATGTTTCTCCTGAGTTCTTTAATTAAAACCCTTGTTTCCTGGCATTCCTCGTCTCTTCGTGCTTCTAACCACCGGAACGTAACCGTAATGGTTCTGCTCTGTATATTGCTGTTTTCCCTGTGTTCCCTGTTATTGATAGTTCAGCTACCGTATCTTCATTGTTCGGTTTATTACAAGAAGCACTGATAATGATCCCTCTCCTCTTCATTTGGTGACTCAACTGTGTCAAAGTCGTGTCAGATTCCTGTAAGATAAATCAGACATTATTGATATCAAGGGCTTGTCAGTTTACCAGTGGAAAATATTTCTCAGTTGTTTTTGATGCCCATCCACAGAAATCTGGGTCAGTGTTATTTTAGTCTCATGTAGTACGTGACTTCTATTTTAGTTTTAAAGATTTTTGTTTGTTGTTGTTGAATGTTTGATTACTCACACATTGAGAAAGTGAACGACAATATTATAATATTAATTTTGCTGGCAAAATACATGCATAAATGCAAATATAGTGGTCTTTATGATGTTAATGACTTGTGAAAACTATCCAATGCTCTAAAAAGCCTACAGCAGTAAAAAAACAATACTTTTATATGTAACATTTGTGACCTCATTTATGCAGTAGTGTCTAAAAGTGCTGTCTGGAGGGGAGATTTGATTTTAATGGCCCTACGTGTTCGATTAAACAATCAAAATATGAGGAAAATGTTTTTTTTTTCAAAATATGAGGGAAGAACAAAACACTAATCTTGGTTAAGGTATTTATCTGACAAAATGATGTGGCAAAAAAGGCAAACTAAAGCTACAGGTTGCATAATAAATAAATAAAAATAAAAAAATACAGAAAAACAAGACACTGACAGGAAAAAGCACACAATGACTACAACATAAACAGGTATTCATATTTGGTTGGTTCTCTGTTATTTTTTGCATGTGATCATAATTTCTTTGTATGACAGCCTGGCCAAAAATGATGTAGCCTACACAGTTTGTCATGTTTCATGGCGGCGAGAGTGTGGGGTAAATGCAGATTGTTCTTAAGGGGGCATCTACCCCATCTTATATTTTTAAACTTCTATTCAGATTAATAATAATCAAATCTTCCAGGAAAACTGGAAATTATTAACATCACAACACTGTAATGTGATGCATAAAAAGGGATTAGGCCCATTACCTTAATTTAAAGTTGTGAATATTAACTGTTTCATAACATTTAAGTCAGAAAGAAAGATCTTGAAATCTGAATCTTTTTAAAAACCTGGTTAAATAAAGACATAATAAATGAATGAATCGCTTAAAGACTGATTCATTTGGAATGGACGTCTACGGTCTACATGCGCGTGTCCCGACCTCCAGACCATAGACTGTAAAAAATAGGTCCCGACGGTCCCGACCAAGACTGCACTTCCCATAATGCATTGCAATGAAAACAGGAAGAAAGACACCATGAGGAAATATTGTCCCAAAATGAATCACAGAGCGATGGATGGATATTGTGCGGTGGAATGAGTTGTGGACACAGCGAATCAGCCGACAGCCGATGGAAGAGATCGAGGCGTTGGCTTTTCAGAGAGAAAGAGAGAGAGAATAAGAGTTCGATGAGCTGATTTCTGTGTTGTTCGTCTCATATGATGGAACGGGCGATGGAGCATTTTAATGTACAGCTGAATCGACTGACGCGTTCCCTGCGTCGCGCGAGGACCGTGGAACTCCCCGAAGGTGAGACGTCACGCATTACATTCTATTCACAAACATTCGAATTTCGAAAGACTTCTGGAGTTGTCAAGGCGACCCTGGATATATTGTAATCATCTCTGCTTCCGGGGAAGGATTCCTGTCTACGGCCATACACATTCATTCGGGTTTATCCATATATGGCCAATTACTACCAAACACCTAAAGGTGTATTTGGATGATCCTCATGTCAGGATATATTTTACCCTAAAAATTAAACGATAAAGAAGAAAAAACAACAACGAAATAATAAAATATACAGTGAAAGGATAGGAGAAGAACCATTCTAGTTATTCACAATTTAATATAGGCTATATATTGTCTTATGACAGTCACACAGTAACTTATGTTATCCAAGAATTGCTCTACAGGGCGACTTAGTTGAGCGAAAACAACATAGTTGACAATTTCTTTGAGTTAGCTATATTTCAATGCCAGGCCTGGTCTGGCCAACCACATGTTATTCTCTTAATGAGGTTAACCTCAAATCTGAATATATATTTGAACTGAAATCATAAAAATATTGTAAATCTTAACAACGCATACCCAACAAATTTGATGATCAATTAATACACTCCGTGACAACTGGTTATTGTAAAGAGAGGACACTTACACTAATGTGTTCAAAATATCCACTACAGTAGAAAATAACATTATATGATGTAACTAAATTAAATTTAAAATCAAACTAACACACACACACACAAAAAAAAAACGTATATAAGGATATAGATCATTTTGACCCACTCACTTTAAAAACAGACACTACAAAAACTGTAATTTAAGGGACACGAAGGCAATTTCAAACAAACAGACAAAATAGGGACTCGGGAGCACTGCACACAATTTGTTTAAGGTTATAAAATGCATTCCTTTAATTGTTGTAAAAATAGCATTGTCACCAATGGCCATCAATGAAATGTGCCCTTAAAGGGATAGTTCACTTCAAAATGAAAATTATGTCATCATCATATACTCACCCTCAAGTTGTTTCAAACCTGGATGAATGTCTTTCTTCTGCTGAACACAAAGGAAGATATTTACAAAGGATCCATAGTAGGAAAACAACTATAGAAGTCAATGGGTCCAGTTAACACCAGTTTGGTTACTGACATTCTTCAAAATATCTTCCTTTGTGTTCAGCAGAAGAAAGAAATTCATACAGGTTGGAAACAACTTGAGTTTATGATGATAGAAATTTCATTTTGAAGTGAACTATCCCTTTAATTGTAGACTGGCTCTCATAACTCTCTAATGCGTCTGGATATTGTACTTTTGTCTTTGTTCTTGATGGCGATTTTCAGTATATTCTCATTATTTTGATACATAAATTAAAGGTAGTGCAGCCAGCTTTCTACCAATCTTCCAAGTGCACCATTTTGGGTCTGTCTTTGTTTGACAGAAAGTCTGTCTTTGTGTTCTTGCAGACAGTGAAACCGCTGTGTACACACTCATGCCCATGGTCATGGCGGACCAGCACAGGTGAGTGCCACTCTTGTTAGTCCGATGGGTTTGGCTCCTGACTACGGTGAGAATGTAACGACCTGGAACATAATTAAACTCCTCTATCTCTTGGGCCACACTAATGAATGCTAAATCTATGACTGTTTATTTCCATTTTTATTGTTAATATCCTTTTTTTTATGCTTATAGGTCAGTTTGTGAATTGCTTTTAAACTCAAAGTTTGATGTCAACTACGCCTTTGGACGTGTTAAAAGAAGCCTTCTACACATTGCTGCCAAGTAAGTCATTTCGTTCCTTTCACATTCTCACAAAATTGCAGAATTGACACAGCCACATTTGTGTTCCCTGTTCTGCCACCACTGTTTAAATATATCTTTCTGAAACTCCTATTATGCAAATTATGAAACATATTGTTTTTGAACATAATTATGTGTCTGCAGTGTGCGTACACAACCACACTATTGTGGTAAAAATCCATCCACTCCATTTGTTATTTTCCACATAAATCTGAAACGGTGTTTCAAAATGAGCCGTTCAGGAATGTGTTCCAGTGTGACATCACATATGCTTAGGCCCCGCCCACGACGGGCACATGATCTGCCCTATTAGCTTAGCTCCGCCCCTCAGTGAGCTGCACACAGTCTGCCATGTTTATCTCCTCGCCACTGCATTTAACAGCGGCATTCAATGAAGAAATGTATTCTTATTAAAGCTACTAAAGTTATTCAGTCAAGAGCAGTGAATGATTTTCTGTTGTTCTTTTGTTGTTTGATTCGGCTGCATGAAATTGGAAAAAAACTGACATTGCAAAATTTTGTTTTTCTGCGATATATGAGAACAATTTCTCCAGATGATTTGAATAGCTCTATTTTTTAACCCTCAGGTGCTCTTCGGTCATTTATGACCGAAAAATTTTCTGTTTTAAATTTTTAAAAATCACAGCTTCATCGGAATGTTACGAAACTTTTATGGCATTGGGTATGTGAACACACACAAAAATTGAGGTCATGATCCGAGCAGGCTAAGTGGTCGTAAAAAAAATAGTCACACTTGTGCTCTTCGGTCAAAAATGACCGACCATAGGAAATGAATGGGAAATTGACAAAAACACAAAAACTTTGAGAATTTTTGTGTGTACAATCTACAAATTCGGCCACGATGCAGAAAAAAAGTGCTCAGCATTGAAGGGGTGACACTCTAAAACATCAAGAGTGCAAAACAGACATACCCACCCACACACACACACACACACACACACTTTTATACACAAAAACACCAATAAATTGTGATTACTGAAATCTGTTTTGAATATTTAAAAATCACAGCTTCATCAGAAAATTACGAAACTTGGTGACTTTTATTGCAATAGGTATGTGAACACACAAAAAATGATTCGAGCAGTTTAAGTGGTCATAAAAAAATGAGTCACACTTTTGCTCTTCTGTCAAACATGACCGACCATAGGAAATGAATGGGATATTGACAAAATTCTGAGAATTTTGTGCTCAACAATGAAGGCGTGACACTCTAAAACATCAAGAGTGCAAAACAGACACATTCACCCACACACACACACATACGAACACACACTTTTTATTAGGGGTGTAACGATATTTGAACCGAACCGAAAAACCGCGATACACCACCCACGATACGTATCGTGATACTCTCATGGCGAACCGAACACGCCCCACCCCCTGCTGCCCCGCCCAGCCCCGGCTCATTGCACCTCATGTGTTATGTGTACACAACGAATACAGGGCTGTTGCCTAACCACCATTAACCACATATAATCGCAATAAGCTCAGTGTTTTGTTACTTTTGATAATAAGCAAGGTGTAATCTTTCAAATTATGTCTATTTGATCACGAAATGCAAACAATAAATGCCGTTTTGGCGCTCTTAGATGTGGCGTGACAGATATCACTGTATGCATGCGGCAGCGCGGAGCGCGATCATCTCTTCCTCAGTTACAGAATAAACATGAATGGACACCCGAAGGTATGTTGAAAGATACAGTATACTTACTGAAAGGCATCATAACTTGTGTAAACACTCAATCAGTGTTTCAACAGCGGAAATACGTCAATAAAACGCTTAGTTTTTCACATAGCTTTATATTTACCTCAGGCAAGTCATTCAGTGTCCACAGCTTGCTGGTTTGCTAACTCTTTCACTAAATAAATGCTATATATTAGCCTATATATTATACTTTACTTAATCTGTTTATGATATCTTGATTATTTAATGTATGTATAAAATAGTTGTCATGAAAATAACAGCAACTGTGTAAATTATTATATAACGATAACAAATTAGAGTAAAAACATGTCAATGCAAAAATTTCCTTATGTGCAGTTTACATGTTTTCATACAATTTGTTATTTGAGTGTTGATTATTATTATATCATTTAGGCTAAAAGTCTAGGCTCTGTTGTTAAGCTTTAATGTTATAGTAATGTGCAAGTAAGGGCTGTAGTTTACAGCATTAGCAGATAATTTTGTTATCCTTGAGAAACGTTTCCTTGTAATTGAATTAATTTAAAGACAAGGACACAATTTGTTAATTAAAGCACTGTTTAATAAAAAATAAAAGCAATTTTAGCTTTCTTAACCCCCCCACCCCACCGAAATGAACCGAACCGAACCGAACCGAGACCTCAAAACCGTGGTACGAACCGAACCGTCTGGTTTGTGTATCGTTACACCCCTACTTTTTATACACATACACATTACACACCAATGAATTGACCGACCATAGGAAATGAATGGGAAATTGACAAACACAAATTCTCTACAAATCGGCCACAATGCAGAAAAAAACCCATCAATAGTGAAAAACATAACATAATTAATAATTATAATTAATATATATATATAATATAATAATTATTAAAAGTAATAAGTAATATAATATTTAAAGATAATAAATTAATGTTTTAAAATAATAATAATAATAATATAAATAATAATAAGCTGTGAAAAAAGCATTACTGTTTATTTTTATTTTTTTATTGAATTGTAATGTTACCTGTAACAAAATGCTTTCTCAGTATTCAAGTTTGACTGTAGTAATAATGCAAAAACGTGTACACTTCACATCAAATTTATTGAAAAAAAAAGATTATAAACCATGGCAAAAAATATTATTTGAGAATAAAAAAAAAAAAAACCACATTCAAATCCACATCTTAAAAGTAATTTTGTCCAAAAACTATTAGAGAATTCACAAGCCTCTCCATAGAGAGCTATACAGGCATCTAGTGGTTACACTATGAAACGACATGTTTTATTTTAATTTCTCTCAACAGATGGTGCTAATCTGACTTCAAAAATTGGATTTAAAAGGCCAGGTCTCTATATTAATCTGAAATACTGCAATAATTGAAGAAATATTTTTATAAATTAGGAAAAAAAAATGTTGTATTGTTTTCAATGGCAAAAATGGACCATACATATTAATAAGTAACATCAAATTGTCTCAAAATACAAAATTAAAAAGAAAAAAATATTATTGAACAAAAATAAATTGCATTGGTTTTACTGGGATGGATAAAGTTTCATTTTTAGGTGTCCGGTCACTTCTGACCGGGAAGATAACAAGTGTGACTCCGAAACGAAGAGCACCTGAGGGTAATCTAGATTGATTGGGGTGATTTTGTAGGTGGAGTGAATCTGCATAGAAAATAACAAACAAATTACAAGCATAGATGAATACAATAGAACAAAGATACAAATGTAATAAAGTGCTTTGTTTTTCAGGTAAGTCTAACAGTATTCAGGTACAGAAATTGAATAATCAAATGTAAAATAACACTGCATAGTCTTCTCTGTTTAAATCAAATAAAAATAATTTATTTAAATAATTAGTTCAGTTTATATATATATATGTATAGTGTGTTCCTGTAGCTCAAACAGTAGAGCGTTGGCGCTTGCAACACCAAGGTCATGGGTTCGATTCCCAGGAAAACCAAGAACTGATAAGAATGTAAATCTGTAGCTTGAAATCCAATGTAAGTCGCTTTGGATAAACGGGTCTGCCAAATGCATAAATGTAAGACGAATGCACAGACCCAATGTAATGATACGCATCTGTTTTCTTTCTCCGTTTACAACACACAGCCGACTGCGTTTACGAGGATACTCGTCGAGACGGGCTTTTTGACTTAAAGGGATAGTTCACTTTGAAATAAATTTTTGATATGTTTTAGCTTACCTCAAGGGCATCCAAGATGTAGGTGTCTTTGTTTCCGCAGTAGTTTCAATTTTGATATTTTTAGGTCAAACCGTTCTTGTCTGTCAGTCATATAATGCAGGTCTATGGTCACCACCTCAAAGAGCATGCACAGAGAAGTCCAAATTAAACATGATTTAATGACTCGTAAATGTAAGTACACATTGATGGCCTAAGACACGAAACGAGCTGTTTGTGTGAGAAAACGAACAGTATTTATTAGGGCTGTAATCAACCAAAGAAATCCTTAGTCGACCAAAGTCTTGTCCTGCGCAACGATTAGTCGACAAAAAAAAAAAAAAAAAAAAAAAAAAAAACGCGATGTTTTGATTGAACATTTTTTAACAATTGTCATAGAGCATTTATAAAACAACGACGAAAAAACATCAAAAATACATAAAACTATAATAATAATACAATTCTTTGAAAATTAAGTGATTTTTTTTTTAACTGCAAAAAGTGAGGAGCTCTGTCCTAGGTCTATAGTAACAGTCACAATCGCGCACCTGACCACACCACACGCTACAAAAAATATAACCGCTATCTGCCACAATGAAAAATCCTAACAAAAGCTCTCGTTTATACAGGCTGTATATTCTTCTTTACTTTCAAAGCTATGGGTTAACTTTTGTCCAGCCGATCTAGGCGTTTTAAAACAAACACACACAAAAACCCAAAGAGCCTAAAGCCTAAAAAAGCCTAAAAAACAAAAGCCTAAAAAACAATCCAAATAATAATAGGCTGTATTGTAGGACCGCATATAGGTTTATTTTCGTTTTGTTACATTATTTAGGCTATTTTCAAATGCGTCAAGTGTACAAATAAAAACAAAAACATATCAAGAAAACAATCTATTGAGTCAGCATCAGGCCCGCCGACAGGGGGGGACAAACGGGTCTGTTGTCCCGGGCCCAGGGTAGGGAGGGGGGCCCAGAACTGGGCCCTCATTAAATTATGTAATAATTGTTAAAAAAATAAATAAAATAGGCATATTTGTTGAAAAAATATCTAATATTTGAGTTACATAAAAGCTTTTTATTCGTTTTCTTCCTAATTGTCCTTGAAATAGTGGTCAAGAACCCCCCCCCCCCCAAAAAAAACAAAAATGGTTTGGCCACTGATCGAAATATGATGTTGTCATTTGATTTGAAGTTCAGTAGGCTAACGTTACGCTCAAAATGTCCGGTCAGCACAAGTCCGGTGCTCAGAAAAGAAAAGAAAAGAGAAGAAAAGAAAAGAGAAGAGAAGAAGAAAATAGAGGCCTTCGAGATGTCCTAAACAAATATTTTTAAAAAGGTGGTGACGGTGAAGCTGGAACTAACATTAGTAAAGTCAACGTAGAGCAAGGTAAGAAACAGCGCAGCCAACGTTTATGAGTGTTGTCAAAGACCCGGCACTTCGGTACCAAGTCGGTACAAATTTCTTTTTAAACGTCACGCCACGGTACCAGGTTTTCTCAAACCCGGGATGCGCGTGCATGCCCAAAGCGCGTGCAGTTGCGTCCTCTTCATAAAAGGGCTGAGATATGATGACCGGCGGTGCTGCTGCTGTGGTGGCTGTAAATCCACTTGTTGATAAGAAAGGAGGAAAGAGCCACATATGGAAATATTTTGGATATTATCTCATAATAGCGACGCGGCGCGCTCGTTTTTACAGGCGCGCCTAAGTTCATTGTTGCATAGCAACGACAGACGCCACGGGAGAGCAAACGCTTGTGGAAAGGAGAAAGCGGTGCGAACTGCGCTCTCCATGATGATGAGGAAGTATTAGCAAAGAATTCATTGATTTCTAGCCCTTGCATTAGCTTTACTACTATTTATGGAGATGAGAAATAAAAAGCCGGCTGAAATGCATCACTGTCATCATCGGGGAACAGATAATGGGTCAGATCCGAGTCTATTTTTGCTGCGCTGCTCATGCTTAAAAGTGAAAGCACATTTTTGATGGACAAAAAATAAATATGATTTCACACAAAAAGTGCCCAAAATGCACAGATTTTGCATGTCTGGTGTGTTTTAACAAGAACTGCAGTAGGCTATGTCAGAAAAGAAAATGAAGACATTTATAGAAAATGTACCCATTTAAACGTGTTTTTATTATTCATTTTGGGTAAAAGTATATGGTGTTTTATAAAAATAAAAAAAATCGTGGGGGGGCCCCATCTAAGATTATCTTGTCCCGGGCCCAGGCAAGACTGTCAGCTGGCCTGGTCAGCATGATAAAGCCGTTAAAGGGACTGCTCACGTCTTTTGCGCGCTCAAGTTCTATTTCAAATGTAGGGGCGCGGTGTGCGCGCTTATGATGGAGGCAACGCGGTCGCGGTGCGACGGGCTCTTTTTTTTCCAAGTGCGTCCACGCCGCATCGAGATAAAAACATATAGTGTATAAAAACATAAAAACCGAAACAAGTAGCGTTCCAACTGAATGAATACAGCTAAACTACCTACATCCCTTACTGAGCACGAAGCAGCAGCGCAGCCACAGGTGCGAACCGAGTGTTCTGTGTGCGCTAAACTGTGGCGCTGTTACAAAATAGCCTAAATTAAAGCATTTAAAGTTGGGGATAAACCATAGGCTAATTATATTTAGAATACAGTAATATATAACTGCTTATAAAGGAATAAATATCAAGGAGTAAATCATTGAACATTTCTTTCTATTGGTAAAAAAAGAAAAGAAAAAAAAGCAACTGGTCGACCAATAAGAATGTCAGTCAACCAAGACGGCATCGACCGATTAGTCGACTAAACGACTAAAGTTGACAGCCCTAGTATTTATATCGTTTTTACCTCTTGTAACCACAGCCACGTCCAAGTGATCTGAGGGCGCCGGCGCTTCGGTCTCTCGCGCGTGTGCGAAAAAAATTCGACGTTGTCTGTTGATATATCAAAATCGTCTTCCATTGCGCTTTCCTGTATATCTAAATATGTTTAGATCTTCACGGTGAAAGGTAACACTTCCGAAATCTCTGTGTAAACACTGAGTGACGTACACGCGTGAGAGATCACTTCCAGACCGAAGCGCCGGCGCCCTCAGATCACTTGGACGTTCTTTTTCCCGTGCACATGTCCGTTCAAGCACAAATAGACTAGAAAGAGACCTGAACTCGCGGCGCTGTGTGTGTGCACAGAAAACAGAGTTCCAGTCTCCTTAGGCTTGATGCTTAAACTGACAGGACTTAAAAGCACATGAAAATGATAAACATCCACTCTATGATGGTTAATCTTTGCAGCAGCTCATTTGCATTTAAAGAGACATGCGCGAAAACAGCTTGTTTTTGCTTTAGCTCAAAAATGGGCATTTACAACATGCTATAATAAATGATCTGTGGGGTATTTTGAGCTGAAACTTCACAGACACATTCTGGGGACAGTGAGACTTATATTACATCTCATAAAAAGTTTTTTTTTAAAGGGGTTTCCAGTGGTGTTAGTGTTTTCCAATCACCCAGATTGAATATGTTCTTCTGAGATGTATGTGTTGTTGCTCTTGTTCCAGTTGTGGATCAGTAGAGTGTCTCGTCCTGCTGTTAAAGCGTGGAGCGAATCCGAACTATCAGGATATCTCCGGCTGCACACCTCTGCATCTGGCTGCCAGAAACGGGTAAACGCAGGGTTAATAAACTCCTGCAGTGCTGCCACCTGCTGGAAGCAGAGCAATTCACATGCATTTATATAGCCTGAGCACTTGTGTGTATTGCATGCAAAAAGTGGTAACTGATCAGTCATTTTTAATACATTTACGGTGAGACCCATGATAATATTTTCCCATGTTGTCTTATATTTTCACAGACAGAAGAAGTGTATGGGCAGACTGTTAGAGTTCAATGCTGATGTTAATATCTGCAATAATGAAGGTCTCACTGCTGTGAGTATGATGATAAATCTGCACAGTTGAGACGGCAATAACAACAAAAAATATTATTATTATTATCCTCACTCCTTCACTTTCTGACAATTAATATATTATATATATATATATAATTGTAATATAGAATTCAAATATTTTATAAAACAAAAAAAAATCATTTTAGGGTTTATATTATAACATTTTTATAGTTTTGATATGTGCAATATTGCGTATGTGTAAACTATATAAAGACATATGTATATATATATATGTCACCGTTTAACAATAAGGTTTATTAGTTAACATTAGTTAACTACCTTAGTTAACATGAACTAAGAATGAACAATACTCCTATAGCATTTATTAATCGTAGTTCATATTAATTTTAACATTCACTAAAAGTTGTATTTGTTAACATTAGTTAATGCACTGTGAACTAACATGAACAAACAATGAACAGCTGTATTTTTATTAACTAACAAAGATTAATACATACTGTAACAAATCTTGTTGCTCATTGTTAGTTCATGTTAGTTAATACGTTAACTAATGTTAACAAATTAATATATATATATGTGTATGTGTGTTTTAGTAACCAATATTGTGTCATTCTGTGTCAAATCAACCAAATTTCAGAAATTTCTCCAGCTCAAATGTTTAAGTTGGTTTATTTTATTTTCTGAAGAAAGACAAACAGAAATAGTGATGAAAGCCAAAATTCTAATAGTATTAAGAATTCAAAATGTTACTAATAAACCCACCAATATCTGTGTAAAAATAAAATAATGATGCTGCATCTTTCTAAAGTCATTTTTACCCCCGCTGTAATCTGACTCCAAATCTCTTTTGAGCCTCCTCTACAAAACAGTGGGTTACTCAGTAAATATATATATATCCATGACATTTAATATTTTGTCTTTCTTTCACCGGACAAAAAAAAAAAAAAGTCTAGATCGAAATGTTTCGCTGGCGACCCTCTGGTTGAGTTGACACGGAATGACCCAGTAATATCATTTCCTGATATGAAGTTGTTCCTCTGGTGTGTTTAGATCCATTGGCTGGCAGTGAATGGCAGGACCGAGCTTCTTCATGACCTGGTCCAGCACGTGTCCAATGTGGACGTGGAGGACGCCATGGGCCAGACAGCCTTACACGTGGCCTGCCAGAACGGACACAAGACTGTACGAAACCGGTCTGTCTACCACAGTTGCACACTAGAACTAAGAGTCCTTTTACTAATGGTATGAAGTGCTGTTTCCCACAGACAGTGCAGTGTCTTCTGGACAGTGGAGCGGACATCAACAGGCCCAATGTGTCTGGAGCGACTCCTCTCTACTTCGCCTGCAGGTGATCATGTTCACACAACTTCCAGCGTTTACCACGATTACTGTCTGTGTCACTCCGGCCTGACAGTGGCACACACACGGCCAACAGTGGGAATGTGGCCCCTTAAAGAGGTCCTTTATTATGATTTAACTTTAGTTAGTGTGTAATGTTGCAGTTTGAGCATAAACAACATCTGCAAAGAAACGACGCTCAAAGTTCAACGCAAAGGGAGATTTTTTTTTTTTTTACAGAAACCGCTTTTTAAGGACTACAACAAACGACTGGTAGGAACTACAATGAGCTTCTTCACGGGTTAGTGACATCACTAACCCTAAAATTTACATAAACCCCGCCCCCGCGAACGCGATTTATAGATTATCATGACAGAATATGCTAATCAATGACTAGAAGATGGTTAACGCCACATCAGCTACATAAATTCATCAACTAACCATTCAGAAACGTCCTGTTGCTCTACATGTTAGAGTCTCTCCATCTCTGTCCGACTCCGGTTTAAACATAAAAGGCTAAAAGTTTTGGAAATGTTCAGAGCGTGTGTGTGAAGGTTTGTGAACACACACACACAAGCTCTTTATGCTCCGCCCTCTGTGCCGGGAGCTGCAGCTCATTTGCATTTAAAGGGACACACACAAAAACAGAGCATTTTCGCTCACCCTCAAAAAGTGACAACTTTAACATGCTATAAAAAAATATCAGTGGTGTATTTTCAGCTAAACCTTCACATACACACTCTGGGGACATCAGAGACTTATTTTACATCTTGTGAAAAGGGCATTATACCACCCCTTTAAGAAAATCAACTTCCTTTCAGTGACTGAATCTGGACAGTTTTCTGAACGCACAAGAAACATAATTATGGGTTTGAACAGATATCTTTCCTGTATATAACCTTTTAACACAGGGCTTTCTTGTGAGTTTAATGAGAACAACAAGAGATTTGAGCTTTCTGTGCTGTAATGACAGACTAATACGAATCGTCCTGATAAGGAAACGTTGCTTTGGTTGCCGAGCAACAGCACTCGTCCGTCTCTTGTTTTGATTACTGATATCAGTCCACTCAAGGCTGATGATGATGTGATCAACTCTAACATGCCTCACAACACATAATTAGAAAGAGTAATTAAACGTACGGATGATCGGTTTTAAAACTGCTCTGTGCCTAATTTCATACTCGCTCGCGGCTTTTGTGAATCTCGTGTATTGTAAATGAACCATACGCATCTGTTTCATCTGAGTCGACTAATCGCTGATGACGTCGTTAATAAAAACACAGAGATGGGAATGCTACGATTTGTAAAGTCCACACTAGAGACTTTGTAACATCTAGCTAGCAAACACATTTACCATTTGTTTGCCCCATTTGTTCTCAAGGCAGAAGGTAGCTAGTAGCTCGTAAGCTCTCCGTTAAGTAATGCGTAGTCGCATAATATGACATTTACCCTCAATAATACAATAGCTTGATTCTAACTGATTTGCCTCGTATAACTATCCGTAAAAAAAAAAGTTTTTATTAAAATATTTAAAGTCCCCCTGTAGTCAATAATTGTATCCCTTAAAACTCATCTTTGATCACCAAAATTACATTTTTAAATGTTTTTTCCTTCAAATTCTTCATGCCTTAAAATATCTTGAATGTAACTCGACACCCTCGCCTCATTTAGTATTTGCGATTCTATGAATATGCAAATGAGCCCCGCCTCCACTCACTCAGCTCCACTCGTTGACGATCACACATTGATCTGATTGGTTACAAGGTAGTTTCACATGCAAATAATATTCAGAAACGGTATTTAACATTTTTAAGGATCACTGGTACAACAACATAAGAAATTACACTTATTTATTATGACTGAGTTTATTTGTGCATCAATTTAGGACGGGTTCAGGTCCGCTAAAAAAGTCATTCATTCACATAATGTTCTCTCTCTTAAACTGTGTAAGTGTCAGCTTTATCATACAGTATATGGCTGAAGAATTTAAAAAGAAGAGCTTATTTATGCAGTTCAGTCAGTCTGCCGTTTTATTCCCACCATTACTCCTGAGCAGAGGCTTCCGTAAATATTACGTTTATATGTTTCAAGTTTAACGGTGCAATGCAAAAATATTTCGGAGTGTGTAAGTTGTAACTTTTTTGTTGCGCCCAAATCTTCTGTTCATTTTACACTCGATATAAGAACTTATTTGTTTACTTGCAGTGAACAAAGTATGGAAGCTTGTTTCCGCCACAGAATGAAAAATAAAAAAGGTAATTGCGACTTTTTTTCTCACAATTGCGAGTTTACATCTCGCAATTCTGGCTTTATTTCTCAGAATTGCGAGATATAAAATTTCAATTGCGAGTTATAAAGTCAGAATTTATTGATATAAAGTCGCAATTGCGTGTTGTAAAGTCAGAATTGCGTGAAATAAAGTCGCAATTGCGTGTTATAAAGTCAGAATTGCGTGATATAAAGTCGAAATTGCATGTTGTAAAGTCAGAATTGTGAGATATAAACTATTCTGAGGGGAAAAAAGTTAGTCTTTTTCCCCCTTAGAATTGGCCTGATAACTCGCAATTGCGAGTTTATATCTCACAATTCTGAGAAAAGATGTCAGATGTCGGAGATGTAAACTCGCAATTGTGAGAAAAAAAGTCGCAATTACGTTTTTTATTTTTCATTCTGTGGCGGAAACAAGCTTCCATACTTTGTTCACTGCAAGTAAACAAATAAGTTCTTATATCGAGTGTAAAATGAACAGAAGATTTGGGCGCAACAAAAAAGTTCTGTAATTCTGTCTTTTTTTCTCGCAATTGCGACTTTATTTCTCAGAATTGCGACTTTATTTCTCAGAATTGCGACTTTATTTCTCAGAATTGCGACTTTATATTTCGCAATTGCGACTTTATTTCTCAGAATTGCGACTTCATATCTCGCAATTGCGACTTTATTTCTCAGAATTGCGACTTTATATCTCGCAATTGCGACTTTATTTCTCAGAATTGCGACTTTATATCTCGCAATTGCGACTTTATTTCTCAGAATTGCGACTTTATATTTCACAATTGCGACTTTATTTCTCAGAATTACGACTTTATATTTTGCAATTGCGACTTTATTTCTCAGAATTGCGACTTTATATCTCGCAATTATTATTATTATTTTTTTTTATTCAGTGGCGGAAACAAGCTTCCATAACAAAGTGAGGAGGGATCGAAACTTGTTGACATGGAAGGAAGATATTGGTATTGTGCGGTTGTCAAGCTTTTGTCATTGTGTTTTAGTCACGGTCAGAGGGACACGGCTCAGATTCTGCTGCTCAGGGGAGCCAAGTATCTGCCCGACAAGAACGGGGTCACGCCGCTGGACCTGTGTGTGCAGGTGAACACACTCCTACCCGAGCTTCATCCATAGCTTAGCGTAAAACTTCAGATAATAGCCGAGTCCCAGATAGACGCCCGTCTCTTTTACACGCCTGGTGTGGCTGCAGGTTTGGGTAAATAAAGGCCGGTCTCAAATAGAGGCCGGGTCTGTTTTTTAGTTTCGGGTTGTATTTAATCTTCTAAAACCCGTCAGATCGTCTGCTTTTTGGCGGCCACCAAAGGCTTTCTTGATTGGTGAGTGATTTAGAACAGAGACTGCTGCGCTTGACATGGCGCAAAACGTCCCGTCTTCAAACACCACGAGCGCTGTCTTGCTCTCTCTCCCTCGCGCATATTAATCAAAATCAATTGACGCGATAGTAAAAGGTCGGAAGACCGCAGTTTCACGTGGAGCATTTGGAGATGTTTAGAGATTAGAGACAGGCCTGTACACTCAATGAACAACATCTCAACACTAAATTATAAAGGCCTGTCTCATATAGACGCCTGTCTCAAATACAAGCCGGTGCAGTTCGACGATTTGGGAAAATAAAAGCCGGGGCTATTATTTGAAGTTTTACGGTACATTAGCTTTCAATCTGAGATTTTCTGTGATTTTTTTTTTTGTGTTTTTAATTAGTTTATATATATATATATATATATATATATATATATATATACACTCACCGGCCACTTTATTAGGTACACCTGTCCAACTGCTCGTTAACACTTAATTTCTAAGCAGCCAATCACATGGCGGCAACTCAGTGCATTTAGGCATGTAGACATGGTCAAGACAATCTCCTGCAGTTCAAACCGAGCATCAGTATGGGGAAGAAAGGTGATTTGAGTGACTTTGAACGTGGCATGATTGTTGGTGCCAGAAGGGCTGGTCTGAGTATTTCAGAAACTGCTAATCTACTGGGATTTTCACGCACAACCATCTCTAGGGTTTACAGAGAATGGTCCGAAAAAGAAAAAACATCCAGTGAGCGGCAGTTCTGTGGGCGGAAATGCCTTGTTGATGCCAGAGGTCAGAGGAGAATGGCCAGACTGGTTCGAGCTGATAGAAGGGCAACAGTGACTGAAATAACCACTCGTTACAACCGAGGTATGCAGCAAAGCATTTGTGAAGCCACAACACGCACAACCTTGAGGCGGATGGGCTACAACAGCAGAAGACCCCACCGGGTACCACTCATCTCCACTACAAATAGGAAAAAGAGGCTACAATTTGCAAGAGCTCACCAAAATTGAACAGTTGAAGACTGGAAAAATGTTGCCTGGTCTGATGAGTCTCGATTTCTGTTGAGACATTCAGATGTTAGAGTCAGAATTTGGCGTAAACAGAATGAGAACATGGAACCATCATGCCTTGTTACCACTGTGCAGGCTGGTGGTGGTGGTGTAATGGTGTGGGGGATGTTTTCCTGGCACACTTTAGGCCCCTTAGTGCCAATTGGGCATCGTTTAAATGCCACGGCCTACCTGAGCATTGTTTCTGACCATGTCCATCCCTTTATGGCCACCATGTACCCATCCTCTGATGGCTACTTCCACCATGTCACAAAGCTCTAATCATTTCAAATTGGTTTCTTGAACATGACAATGAGTTCACTGTACTAAAATGGCCTCCACAGTCACCAGATCTCAACCCAATAGAGCATCTTTGGGATGTGGTGGAACGGGAGATTCGCATCATGGATGTGCAGCCGACAAATCTGCGGCAACTGTGTGATGCCATCATGTCAATATGGACCAAACTCCCTGAGGAATGCTTCCAGCACCTTGTTGAATCTATGCCACGAAGAATTGAGGCAGTTCTGAAGGCAAAAGGGGGTCCAACCCGTTACTAGCATGGGGTACCTAATAAAGTGGCCGGTGAGTGTATATATATATATATATTTATATTAGGGGTGTAACGGTTCACAAAATTCACGGTTCGGTTCGATATGACACAGTGGTGTCACGGTTCGGTACGTTTTTGATACAGTAAAAAGAAAGAAATTTCCTTGATTTTTTAATTTATTTAAAAAATATATTATTTTTAAATAAGTGTGAGATTTCCTACATCTTGAAAATTTTAGTTTTATAAATGTGGGTAATCTTTGAAGGATGTTTTAATGTTTTGGTCATCACATTAAAAATAGCATTATATGATAACATTCAATTTTGGTCACACCAATTTGTAATGATTACCGAAAGCCTCGTACCGAACGGTTCAATACGAATATGTGCATCGTTACACCCCTAAATATATATATATATATATATATATATATATATATATATATATATATTGCTATTTAAGTTTCATTTAGTTTTATTTCAGTTTTAGTTTTTATTTCCAGGTAACAGTTTTAGTGTTTCATCTTAAACTTATTATTTATTGCCAAGGCAACATTTCTAATTTTAGCTTTAAGTTTTTCAACAAATATTTATATTTTATTTTAGCTTTATTTCAGTTTACAGTGAAATCATGTCTTAATGTTTTTAATAGTTTTTGTTAGGGTTTTGTGTGATGATATACTCATGTCACGATTCGATACAAATCATGATACGATGCTATTGTGATATTTTAAGCCAAAATAAACAAGAGAGGTTTTTATGATCATTACTTATATTATTAAAATAAGATTATTATTATTATTTTATTATCATGACCCACAAATATTCCCCCATTGCATTATTATACATTGTTCATAAAGTAGTTTAATGTAGTATTGTCACTGAATGTCTGTGTTTACTACAGTCTGCGTGTGGTTGTGAATCTGTTCATCATATAAAGCCGTCGTGTCTCTTCAGAAGACTTGATTTAGATTAAACCACTCAATTGATTATTTTTACGATGCCTTTATGACATTTTTTGGGATCTTTTAAGTTTTAGAGGAATGGCCTTTAAATGGAGGGACAGAAATCTCTCAGGTTTCATAAATAATATCTTCATGTGTGTTTGGAAGTTGAACGAAAATCTTAAGGTTTGAAACGACATGAGAGTGAGTACATGATGACAGAATTAAAATTTTGGGGTGAATTTTACCTTATAAATACAGTAAGCTGAGTCTTGGACCTACGGAAGCCTATTGCATTCACTTGAGGAAACAAATCTACTCTGTTTTTCTGAATTAACGAGTTAATTATCTCAGAATTACAGAGAATGTTTCATGGGAAAAAAGTTTTTGCTCTGTTTTTCTGAATTAACAAGTTAATTATCTCAGAATTACGAGATTTTTTCATGAAAAAAAGTTTTTGCTCTGTTTTTCTGAGTTAATTATCTCAGAATTACGAGAGAATTTTTCATGGAAAAAAAGTTTTTGCTCTGTTTTTCTGAATTAACGAGTTAATATCTCAGAATTATGAGATACATTTTTTTTGAAAAACATTTTTTTTTCACTCTGTTTTTATGAATTAATGAGTTACTCATAATTTTGAGATAATTAAGTCATTAATTCAGAAAAACAGAGCAAAAACGTTTTTCCATGAAAAATTATCTCGTAACTCTGAGATAATTAACTCGTTAATTCAGAAAAAACAGAGTAGATTTTTTTCCTCAAGTGAATGCAATACGCTTCCGTATGGACCATATCACGAATCATATCGTTTACATCCTCGTTACAGCCCTGGTTTTAGTTTTAGCTAGTTTTAGGACGCTAAAGCTGGTGTGTGTGTGACTGCAGGGTGGTTATGGTGAGACGTGTGAGATCCTCATCCAGCACCACAGCAGACTCTTTCAGACGCTCATACAGATGACCCAGAACGACGACATTAAAGAAAACATGGTACGCCTCATCTATCTTTCTTCATACGTTTATGTACCTAAATGCCTGTTTACATGTTGAGTATTATTTTGGTAACACTTTACAATAAGGTTAATTTGTTAACATTAGTTAATATATGAACTAACATGAGCAATACGTTTGTTACTGTATTTGTAAATCTTTGTTAATGTTAGTTAACACAAATACAGCTGTTAGTGCATTAACAAATGTTAAGATATACAACTTTTATTAATAATATTTTAATCATGTATTAGTAATTGTTGAAATTAGCATAAACTAAGATTAATAAATGCTGTACAGGTTATTACATTATTAGTTCATGCTAACTAATGTATTTAAAGGTCCCGTTCTTCAGGTTTTTTTGAAGCTTTGATTGTGTTTACAGTGTGCAATATAACATGTGTTCATGTTTCGCGTGTAAAAAAACAGTATTTTTCACCTTTTTTTGTGTATTCCTGCGGGCGGAGATTAGTCAAAAACTGCTCTAGTTACGTCATTAAAAAAGGAAGTGGAGGGATGTAGTCCAAACCGGCCGTTCGCTGTAGGCTTTGAAAGGGGACTTCTGTTAAATAAAATATCTCGCTAGGCATTGAACTTTGAGCTTTATCATTTTACAGGTATTATTTATGCTCTAACAGCAACATTACACACTAGTTAAAGTTTGAAAAATGGAATCGCGAAGAACGGGACCTTTAACTAATGTGAACTAATAAAACCTTATTGTAACGTGTCACCATTATTTCTAAGCTACGGCAGGTTCTAGAATATGTTTCTCAGCAAAACGACTCGAACTACCAGAGTATCCTGACCAGCTTGGCGGACGTGGCCACCACAAACGGACATAAACTGCTGAGGTGCATCCGCGTTATCCACAGTTTCCACGAGATTACTCCTCTTCTTTAGGCCTTCCTTTGCTCAAATCAGTTTCTCACTGTTTGCATTCAGCTTGTCCAGTAACTTTGAGGTCCAAACAAAGAGTTTTCTCCGGATTATCCGGATCTTCTGTCATGTGTTCTGCCTGGGACCGTCCTCCCCGAACAACGGGAGTGACATGTGCTACAACGGGAACAAGACGCCCCGTAGCCAGGTGTTCAAGGTCAGTGGGCTTTACATGGCAAACTAATCTTACTTCAGTGCTAATGTTCAGATGCTTAAAGGTGCATTGCGCAACATTTCATGTTAAAAATACCTGTTTTTCTAACCCATACATGCTTAAACAATTGCCTGATGGGCTAAATGAGCCCTTCTCTGATCACTGCGATTGCCTCTATAATCCTGTACAGTAAGATAAATAAGAGGGATTCGGGACGGCGTTTGAGACTGGGTGTGACGTCATGCGCGTTCACGCTCCCCTGGCTGTGTCTGGCAGGTTTGTGTATTCGTCGCCATTCTCCGTATCAGCGAAGACAACTCGAGCGACACAACTTTAGTCAACTTTCGACAAAAGTAGAAGATGGATTCTAAGAGACCGGCTTGTAGTTCATTTCAAACCCCAACGCAAACGCCACGTAAGACAAAGAAAAGAAAACTTTTGTCTAGTGCCACCAAAAGGGCCAAATTGGAGTCCGAATAAGACGAGTCTCAACATCGGGAAGGCTTTCAACAAATGGAGAGATCTCCGGTCTGCTCTAGGGCTCAAACGGGATCCTCAGTTGGCTTTTTTCTTGATAAAACGGTTCATGAACGTGTTTCCATAATAATACAATCATAAGTGGATACAGTAAACACATAAAACAGTTCAACATGGAGATAGATGGAAACAAAAACCAAAGTTTTCTACTACCCCCGTTTTCCCCTCACACATAAGTGTGTAATTTACTCAAATGCCTTTCCTTTCATATATTTAAAATGACTTGCAGATTTATAACTTTATTACCTCTGAAGACATTATGACTGTAAACAAAAGATTTGTGCGGCTGATGCTCCTTTGGTTATGAACAGCTCGTGCAAGCGTGTGTGTGGTCCATGAGCGTGCACACCTCTGGTTGCAGTTTCGCTTGTCGCCAGAGGGGGCGTAGTTCTGCAAAAACTCAGAGACTTGCGCAATGCACCTTTAAAGAAAGTAATGTTCTGTCATTTTGTCATTTTCACTTTCGATTCACAGTAAATGTTACTCTGTGTGTTTAGCTGTGTCTGAAACCACTCACTCGTTCACTCATTCACTATCCCTATATAGTGTATGGCATTTGAGTGCACTACATCTGCAAGGAGGGAACGAAATGAAGTGAGTGAATTCGGACGCTGACGTTTACACTGCGTCGGAGAGCTGGAGCTGTCGCAGAAACGGCTTCGTAAAACTCCTTTTATCTTGCATTACTTACTTTATAACATAATATTAACAACAATAACAATCATAATGACTTTATTTAGTAATTATATATACCTCCGTGCCAGCTTTGTAGTTTCATCGATTGAAATTTTGTTATAAACTCTCGCGCTCACTGATGACGTGGTCGTCGAGCGCCTCAGGCGACCGTTATGATGATTACATTCGAATGAACAGATGATTAACGAATATTTTTCAATTATCATCCCTTCCTTACAGTTTAACGAATTAACAACAATGCCACAAATTATTAAAACACCTGGCTTATAGGAAAACACATTAAATTGAGTTAATGCCTAAATAATATATTTTAATAAAAAATATATATACCTATATAATTGACCCTATTAATATCAGTTCATTTTAATTTTAACATTCATCTATATAATATTTTCTCAATATTTTAATGTGTTATTCAAGTAATGATTAATAAAAAAAAGGTAGAAAAAAAAGCTGTTAGGTAATTTCTGGTTTAAACTCGTGCGCTCAGTCCTCTACGCATTGGATTCTGGGAAATAGTGCTTCAGCAAGTGTACATCGGATGTACACTCACAATCAGAGAGGATTGTGGGTAAAAGTAGTGAACGAATGTAGGAAATGATGTCGTTCACTCAGAATTCGGACACCACTACAAAATGGCCGACACCCTATGTAGTGCACTTTGTTATTAATAAATAATCAGAGGTGGGGGAATCGAGTCACATGACACATTTAAGGACTTGAGACTTGCTTGACTAAATGAAGAAAATGACTTGAGATCTAATGCCTCGAGACTTGACTTCGAACTGTATGACTCGAGAATGACTTGAGTATAGATTATTTTTTATATAAATCATGGCGACATCAGTAGCACCGACACCAGTGATCAGAGTCTGAGCGATTGCGTGAAGCTGCACAAGCACAGAAAAACATACAGCGGTGATAATATTAAAATATCTAACATTTTCATAGAAGTAATGACACTTAATGTCCAGATAAATACAATATAATCAGACAGATATATTTACAATTTCACTTCATTTTATATAAAAGATCATATGTAGTAGTGTCCAAAAAGTAATGTTCAGACTTCAGAGGGGATATTTGTTTTTAATGACCCTCAAAATATGTGGAAAATATTTTATATTTTTTAAATATATTTTAAATATGAGGGAAGAACAAAACACTAAACTTGTTTAAGTTTAAAATTTGTCTGACAAATTTTTTCTAAGCCGGACATCAAGTAAGGTACGAGAGGCTGTGCTGTATCGTGACTTGAGTATTGAGTATCTCGAGTATTGACCGTGACTTATTCACGATACAGCACTGGCCTCGAGTACCTTATTGCTTTTATAAAACGGTCATACAAAATACCAATATTAAAGCTGAAAAATATGTGTCAATGCAACTTTCATGAAGTAAAATCACTAAAAGCCTTCCTTCCGCTGGAAAAAATAGTCCCTGACTGTGAACAGCAGCAGAAGTTACATTATTTCGCCTTTAGATGGCGGCAAAGACTGTCTTTATGAGTGAGTGAGTCAGTAGAGAAGACTTTTATATTGAAAGGACTGAAACTTGTGAACACGGATAAGTACGACGCAACTAACAAATGACTAGCGTGTCAGGGCACGGAAAACCCTTAACTGTTAAAAGGACAAGATATCAAACGATTCAAAATCGATTGAATATCGATTCAAACCGATATTTTATTACGAATATATATAGGACTGACCTGAAGGAAAATGCTGTATCTACTGTAAACGAGGGCCGGATTATCCATAGACGGGATTGGGCGAGTGCCCTGGGGCACCAGCCAATAGGGGGGCACCAAATGTTTAAGAGAATGAATAAACCTTTAAAATAGTTTTCATGTTTTGTATATATATTATTTTGCTGGAAGAGATGCAGATATAAAATGAACAGTAAAATAAAATATTTACAGAGAGAATATAAAATATGCATATAAAGAATTGCGATTGGGTCAGGTCACAGTGTAGCCTATTTCTTCGAAATGAAGAAAAGACAGAGACATGGCATCACCAGCAGAAGGCACTAGCAGCGAAAAATGTCTCAACCGATCCTCAAGCAGCAGCTAATGTTGTGAGCAAAGGTGGTAGCATAACACAAAGTTTAGAAAAAAATACTTTGTGACGCTGTTGTCAATTTTAAATTTGTGCAACGGTTTTCTCTTTTAGCTGGTTGGTTTAAAGATGCTTATTACATGCATAACTTTTGTTTCAATCTTTACTGAATTCATTCCGATTGATGAATCTGAATGTAGTGTTTACATGAACGCTAAACGTGATCCGGGTTGATGTGCGCGTTAAGGGGGGGGGGCACTTAAAATGTGGTCACCCTAGGGCACTGCACTGTGTTAATCCGGGCCTGCTGTAAACGCAGGTAACGTTACACTCGCTCACACGATCTCTCACATTACTCTATAAGCTTCAATGAACAATATCAATGAGATCAAACATATGTTTACGTTGCTAAGAGTGGTTGCTAGGGGTGTTGAGTAGTGAGACATAGAACACATAGAAACACAGCTATTGACCAATCAGAATCAAGGACTGGAACTATTCTATATTCTATATGAACGCCACACAGAGGAACATGATTTCTCTGGTCTTGTGTTTCTGTCTAGCCTCTGGAGCTGTTATGGCACTCTCTTGATGAATGGCTGGTCCTCATCTCCACTGAGCTGGAGAAGGAGAGCACAGACGCATCGCCCTCATCCTCAGGAAATGACATCGCCTCACTTTTCCTGAAAAAGCAGGAGGCGGACCCCTCGGGATCCAGCGAAAGTGCCCCGCTGTTACTGGACGCCAGCTCCGTGATGAAGACACCAGAGGGGTACGCCGACGGTCAGGACGTCATCTCGATGATAGCCAATCGCCTGAGCGCCGTGATCCAGGCCTTCTACATGTGCTGTTCCTGTCAGATGCCTCATGGGTAAGACTGACCTCACACTCACACCAGTCCACACAAAACCACCGTATACAAGCTGTATAATGATAATGGTGCTGGAGCAAGTGATTTCACACTTGATGCCACACGGTTCACTCACAGAAAAAATATCTGAAACGTTTGTTTTGTCCTGTGATATTTCTAGTCCTCTGGGGAACAAATGTGTTCTGACACCCTTGAAAGAGGTTTAAACAAAGACAGTCTAGAATCAGTTTATGAATCTTAGGCATATTATAAAGGTTTTTAGTTGTTTATCAATCTATTGTAACCTGGATTTGGCCATTAAAATGTATAGAAGCACAGCTTCCTTTAATGTGACACAGAGTAAAGGCCATGTTGTCAGGTTAAACAGCCATGTAGGAACACACACATCATGGCCATATTCCAGGATGACAATGTCAAGATTCATCAGGGTTAAAACTGTGAGAGAATGGTTGTGATGAAGCATGAAGAATCATGAAACATCACCTCAAAACTCAGAGGTTTCTTCCCACAGACCATTTGATCAAAATAAACTGCAGAAAACGGCGTGTTCGCAAGTCCATGCGTTCGAAACCCAGCAGGAAAACACACATACTGACAAAATGTAGATCTTGAATACACTGTAGGCTTCGGATAAAAGAACCGGCAACAACTCGCATTTACATGTGAACTTTATAAGTGGAATAAGTAAAGTTAATGGGGAACACAGGAGAACTGAGATATGTGCCAACTCATAATGTAATAAGTATTGCATTACTAATGTAATAAAATGTTCATAATGTAATCATCTTTAATCAAATCTTGAGCTCTTAATGTATTAAATGTATTAAATTATAATCTCGGCAAAAACGTCAGATTTTTCATAATTGTTTTCGCTTTTTTAAACATTGTTATTCCATTACAGAACATTTTTAAATCTAAATCCAGTTTTTAACTACCTACAGAATGCACAATATTTAAATATTCATACTATTATTATTATTATTATATTTAGAATTTTATATTTTTAATTAAAGCATAAAAAGTATTAGTATTCCCTAACAGTAATTTTTTTCTTAACCTGTGAAAGGTACTAGATTCAAATATTCATGCTATTATTATTATTATTATTATTACTGTGCATTACTTTTATTTACATAACCCAAATAATCAGTATAACGGCCTGTGAAGAGCTTTATTGACCAAATCATTAGGTGCTTTAATCATAATGTCTTTAGTTCATTAGTTATAGAGAAATGAAAATCAACTCTGTAGAGAATCATATCACTTGAATTATATGCATTATACATGTTGGTAGAATATAAACAAGTTTATATGACAACCATTTATATGACTATATCTCAAAAATGATTTACAAACTTATAATTCCTTAAAAAAAAAAAAATTCTGGGTTATTATGACTTATAATGATGAAATATGTCATAATCACAAAATTTGTACAATATTTATCAAAATGTTGAGTCACAATCTAGCCTATTTTGTGATCAAATGTATTATATTGAAAGACAATTACATTGTTAACAACTGTGAACTGTGGTTGCATTATTTGCTACAGTGTTTTCATGATGTAATACATGTCTCATTACATAATGTGAAAGATGGTTATTAAATTCTGAACTCAAGATTTTATTGCGTTTTGAGAAAGTTATTACATTATGAAAATGTTATTGCATTAATAATGAAATGCTTATTACATTATGTGCAGTTATTACGTTATGAATTGTTTAATAATATGGTTTAATCGTCACCCGACACCACAGGCTGCTTCTCTAATCATAATGTTATTAGATCGTTAAATCGCTCTTTAATTTATGCATAATTTATGTACTCTCATCGCCAAGTCTGAGACCCTGCGTACTCTTTCCTTCTCTGATATCTAGCATGACCTCTCCTCGATTCATCGAGTTCGTCTGTAAACATGATGAAGTACTCAAGTGTTTTGTGACAAGGTAAGTCGAGAGCATCTAATCCATTTATAAATCTGTTACATTGCTTATTAAAGAATAGTTTAATGAAGGAAAAAAAAGAATACTTCATGCATCTCTTTTTTTACACAATGAATGTTTATAGTGCCAGCATCTGACAAGCTCTAAAAAAAAGCTTTGGGGTCAGGAAGATATTTTTTTTAAGGAAATTATTACTTTTATTCATCAAGGACACATTCAGTTGATTAGTGACATTAAAGACATGTATAATGATACAAAAGATTCAATTTCAAATAAAATTTGTTCTTTTGGGGTTTCTATTCATTAAAGAATGATCAAAAGATCAGTTTCCACAAAAATCTGAATCAGCACAACTGTTTTCAACACTGATAATAATCATAAATGTTTCTTGATCATCAAATCATCATATTAGAGTGATTTCTGAAGGATCATGTGACACTGAAGGCTGGAGTAATGATGCTGGAAATTCAGCTTTGATCACAGGAATAAATTACACTTTACTATATATGCGTGAATATGGCCTAGAGATCGGCATGGGGTACTTTCCATAATCATTTCTCAATGCAAATCAAACCAGCTATTAGGCGAAATGAAATAAAACCATGCCGATCTCTAGGTATGGTGAAGGGTGTGTGATGATGTGCGGATATTTTAATCCCAAAGGCCAAGGGAACGTTATCAGGACTCATAGTGTCCTGGATCCATGAAATAACTGGCCTTTAAAAATAAAAATCTGCCTGACTCTATGGGAGTTTAACATAGGGGTGTCCTGACTTATGCCCCCTGTATTTTAAGGAAGAACATTTATTTATTTACGATACATTATTCATTCACAAAGAAAATTGGTGTCCTTAAAGGTTGGATTTTTCCTCATTTTTTAAATGAAGGCATTAAGATCAATTTCCAAAAGAATATTTTTTATTCCTCTTTTTAGTCAACTTTAGCATGGGTGTGTTCACTTATGCTAAGCACTGTGAACTATACCTTTAAACTTTAGATTATGGCTAGCGGTGTGCATATGTGTACGTATGCATGTGTAGCCCAATACTTTTAAAACGCTTTCTTACAGTTGCTCTTTCATTATTCCCAGGAATCCCAAAATTATCTTCAACCACTTCCACTTCCTGCTGGAATGTCCTGAACTCATGTCTCGCTTCATGCATATTATCAAAGGCCAGGTAAGCATGACTCCTGAAACAGATCGTGTGCCTGATGTGGGCACTGAACAACTTTAGGAAAAACTTGAGCTCATATGAGTTTCTCCAGATGATTTGAATAAAGCTCTATTTTTTAAAGAATTAATCAATCTAGATTGATTGGGGTGATTTTGTAGGTGGAGTCAATCTGCATAGAAAATAACAAACAAATTACAAGCATAGATGAATACAATAGAACAAAGATACAAATGTAATAAAGTGCTTTATATTTTTCAGGTAAGTCTAACAGTATTCAGGTCCAGAAATTGAATAATCAAATGTAAAATAACACTGCATAGTCTTATCTGTATAAACTAAATACTGTATAATTAATCTTAGTTACAGCTACAAAAGTGATTTTCTTTTTGTTCAAAGATTTTTTGTTTCACGACTAAAGTTTTTTCCTCTGAAAACGTTATCAAAATGATTCCCGTTCACACGGATCTGTGGAAACGACTAAAAACGCTGTATTATGCTGGACAGACAAGTAATTGGCAATGTCACTTTGGAAAGAAAGATTCACAGAATCACGTTTTCGAAGTTTACGCGGAGATGATAACGGTATCGCTTTCAAAACCCGTTTTCAAAAACTTGCACTATGAAACCTACTTCAAAGTGTGTGTTCTCAGGCCACCAAAACCCTGTCGTCGTGTAAATGAACGGCCAGAACGCATTCAAGTTTTCTGTTTCCAGTTGAAAATTGTCTCGTCTAAGTTAATAAATAAAGATTTTTACAACAGAAATGAATCAATCAAAACTTACTTAAGCTGGACAGTGACTTTCTTCTAGATCTGCTGTACAGCCAAAACAATTAATTTCCTATTAATTTCCTATAATCACTGTAAAGCTGCTTCGAAACAATCTGTATTGTAAAAAGCGCTAAATAAATTAAGGTGACTTGACTTTGTATTTTGTTCATTGATTAACAATAATGCCACAGACAGCAACAGGTTTATTAGGCTGCTGTCCCTTTAAGACCGAATGCACGGATCCAATATAATGATACGCATCAGTTTTCTGTCTCAATTGTTTGTTCATGTGAGCCATAAGCGACTGTGAGGATACTCACCGAAACGGGCATTTTTATCATAAGTTTGCGTCTAGGTGTCCATTCAATTACAAATAGATGAGAAAGAGAACATAATTTGGGTGTTTGCGTGCGGCTCTGTGAGTTTTAATGGTTTAAAAGCACTTGCATGTTTAAACTGACAGGACCTAAAACTAGGGCTGTCACTTTTGTGAAAAAATCCTATTCGATTTTTGAGACATAAGTGTTCATTGAATCGATTGTAAAATCTATTTTCCATCTAAAGACATTTCCATTTATAGGCAAATCCACGGACACCTAACAGGCATTAGGACGAGCGTAAAGAGGGCGCTTGAGACGCACAAGTCAGCAATATTTCTGATTGATTTATTGGCGTGAAGTTTCGTGCACAATGACAAACAGGAGCGCAACATTCAGGGATTGAGATTAACACCCGGTAACTCGCCAAATGCGGGTAAAAATGAACTGGCGGGAAACGCTGTCAAATCACGAGCCATCTGACGTGTTTCTATGTTTACTCACTTTGCTGGGGAAGTTCGTGTAAGCCAAATCTGCGCGGATTTAGCGCAAATACGCAACTCGTGAGTCCTCATGATATAGAGAGCCTAAGCCCCTCCCCTTCCGGGCGACCACCATGGGACCTTATTTCGGAAAAATATTGTATGGTAGTCGATGGCGAGAGACAACAAATATTTTGATCTCGTTCGAATTGTGCCCTGAATTACACAAATGATGTTTGTCAATTTAAAAGATACATTTTAAAGTCAAGAAAGTCGCAGTTTGATGTAAAACTGTTGAGGTATAAGACTGTGAAAATACGTAAAAGACTACAAACCCCAAAGTCGCACATTTCCTCTCAATAAATGAAGCTAACTTTACTGAAGCTAACGTCTGTCATTGTTTCTATAGTCTTACTGTGCGTTCACACCGGACGCGAATAGCGCGTCAAATTCGCGTCTACCGCGTCTAGTTTGACGCTTGACCACTTTGTGTTAATTCGCGTGTCAATGGCGAAATTGACGCGCGTAAAAACAAAAGTTTGAAGCGAAATTTACGCGCGTCAGAGGCGAAATCCGGAGGCGAAAGCTTCGAAACCCGTTCGCGGCCATCTTTTTAGATGTTTATCGAGCATTACCATTAGCATTATTCGAGAGAGTCACCGCTCGTATATGCTCTGGAGAGCAGAAACAGCTGCGTAGGGGACATCGTCGCTGTACTCGGATCCACCAGAGCCTCCGGAGGGTTTCAGGAGTTTCACAATTGGCTCCAGGAGCTAGGTTTGGTGGACCTAACGGTGAGGACGCTGATGAGGACAGCGTAGGCCGTATAAGGCCTCGGCCTCGAGTGGTCTATGCCTGTCGAGCCCGCGCTCTACAGCCCGGCGCGAGCTTCACCCTCGCCCGCACCCACCTAGTCTGTCATTTATTTTTGTTTTGATAATAAATGGAGCCTCCAAAAGTGAAACCTGTCCTGTGATTGTTTTAAAAGTTTTTATACACTAAATTGTGTTTGTTGTCTTTACATTGGAATAATAATGTTTCATATAATCTAGAATAGATATGGAATAAATAGCATTCAATACAAAATGAGTATCTCTCATATATTGAAATCGAGTTTTTATGTGAAAGATTTGCTTTGCACACCAAGCATTTTTGTCATATTACAAAAAAAAATTAATGAGGCCAAACATAAAATAACATTATAAACGGTCACTTCACCACGTGACAGCAGCAAGCAGCTAGGCTCCTGATTGGTTAACGCGGCGCGAATTGACGCAGAAGTTCAGATTTTTCAACTCGGGCGGCAGACGCGAATTCGCGTCAAACGCGAGAATGCACATACATAAAACATTCGCGCGTAACGCGCCAGACGCTCAATTCGCGCGAACGAGGCGTATTCGCATCTACTGCGCCGCGCTCTACGCCTCATTCGCGCCGCAGGAATTTTTTACGCGCGTAACGCGTCTTTGCATTGACTTAACATTGAAATCACTCGCGCCTGACGCGCTATTCGCGTCCGGTGTGAACGCACCATTACGTTATAATCGTAACGTTACGCCGTCATCAAGTGTTTTGTACCAGACTGCACACAGACGAGCAGCGGATCTCGCTCGTTGTTTCGCTTCCCGGGAGATGTAGTTCATTGAGCGATTTTCACATAAAACTAAATGTTACTCTTCTGTTTCATGACAAACTGTGACTTTCTTGACTTTCATAATTATCTTTTCAATTGACAAGCATCATATGTGTAATTCAGGGCACAGTTCAGACGGAATAAAAAGATGAGTTGTCTCTCGCCATTGACTACCATACATATTTTTTTCCGAAATAAGGTCCCACGAGCCTTACCTAAAACTAGGGGTGTGCAAAAAAATCGATTCACATTTGAATCGCGATTCAATCTTTACCGATTCAGAATCGATTCATAGAATTCCAAAAATCGATTCATATATATTTTTTTAATGGCGTGCACGGGCGGAGTGGCAATCGGGTGAGTCGGGATTTTACCGGTGGTCCGGTAGTGTTTCAAGGCCGCGAGGGCCGGTCTGATAAATAGTTACATTGCAAGTTATTGCCGCCCGCTGGTCAAACTGCAACGGCGATAGTTTGAAGCGCGTGTCCGAGTGAAGACTGCGCGAGCCACAGAGAACACTGTATCCATGACACTGATAGCAGCGGACACGAGCGCGCAGCTTGATTTCAAAAATAACAGATCTCTTATTTAATAGCGAACTAAATGAATGGTCTGCTAGTTAACTGGAGATACCCGCAAATTACGCCTATGAACGACTTCACTGGATCTAAACAAATCAATCTAACCATAGATGTTACCAGTAGCGGTGGCTTTTTAAAATCTATTTAAAATAATTTCGCAAGGCTTCTATGACATTAGTATATATTTTTAGGAAGTTCAATGTGCCCAGTCGAGTTCACATTTCAACAGTCAACCTGGTAGCTGAAGTAGTCCTTAAACCACATTTAGCATAATTGTTTGATCTGACTACAGCACTTTTAAGCTAAATGTAAAATCTTTTTATTTAAGTTTTATTTTAAACTTGAATTAAATGTATTTGAAAGCTGGCCAAAGCTTGGCACTTTGCACTTTTTAGTTGCAAAAGTTTTTATTTTTGTATGAAAACATATAAAGTAATATCAAACTACATTTAATTTGTTGTGCTTTTTTTTTCTTTGAAATTGGGTCTACTGCAATCTATCACATAGGAAAAAGTAAACTACATTTATATACTGCGAATCGTTTTTTGAATCGAGAATCGTTTTTCAATCGAAAATCGATTTTGAATCGAATCTTGAGACAAAAAATCAGTATCGAATCGAATCGTGACATTTTCTGAATCGTGCACCCCTACCTAAAACGCATGAAAATGATAAACTTTCGCTCTATGATGGTTAAACTTTGCGATTAATCCAAGAGTCATGTGCGTTTCGAGGTCCCTGGTCCGTACAGATTAGCTGCGATCCCTGTTCTTGACATCGCACACCCTGTGATCATGTGACTCTTCATAATCGCCATACCGATGCTAAAAGGATCTATCGTGCAGCCCTAGATTGACCTTGCATTGTTCATGTAATCAGGTCTGCATTTGCATGCTTGTGTGAAGTATGTTTCCGGCCTAAGAGTTCATCTGTGACAGAGCAGCGCATCAAGACTTGATGATCGTCATCATGTTTAACGGGTCTTTGTTTATCTCTCTTCCTCAGCCATTTAAAGACAGGTGTGAGTGGTTTTACGAACATCTTCTGGCGGGACAGCCCGACTCGGATATGGTTCACCGGCCGGTTAATGAAAATGATATTCTTCTTGTTCACAGAGGTAGAAGAATTTCCACATTAGGATCCTTCATATTTCTGTCTCCACTTCCTTTATTCGTGTTTTTATCTTCTTCTTTCAGACTCTATATTCCGCAGCAGCTGCGAGGTTGTGTCGAAGTCCTCCAATGAGAAGCTCAAGCAAGGCATTGCCGTGCGGTTCCACGGTGAAGAGGGAATGGTAAGCGTGTTTTTGTCACACAGGAATATCTCTATCTTAAATCTTCTGGGACTTTCAGACATGTAGCCCGGTCAAAGAGAGGAAACCACAAACCAAACGAGGCCTCATTACACTGAGTCTACCACAGTTAGTGCTGTTGTTTGGCACGATGCAAAGTGCTAAAAGTATCATAATGGCAACAACCAATAATAGCAAGAGCTTTATAGCAAGTCTCCTCCACTGGATGAAAATAAACATAGGCATGTTCGTAAGATGTAAATACAGGGGAAACTCTAAAAATGAGAATATCGTGCAACATTTATTTCAGTAATTCAAATTGAAAGGTGAAACTAATATATTTAGTATATAACCAGTGTTTCCCCTTGGATTTTTTTTCAGCGGGGGGGTACTGCTAGTGTTGCGGAGCAGGCGTGTTACGGATACGTGGTGTACATTTTTTAGCAATCAAAAAGCATGTCTAATTAATTGAAATGGTGTATTATGAATCATTAAACGTATACAACATTTAAAAAAAAAATATGAAAAAAAATTTCACACTAATTCTTTGTTGTGTTTTTTCTGGTAATAAAATGAAGACATAAAACACAAATTTTATCATTTATCATCAATTTTAATCATATGAAATTAAATAAACTTTTTGTCAAATAACGTGCTGCACAATGAGCTTTACTGTTAAAATTAAAACATGGATTATTCCTAAAAAAATCAGTTTTGATGATAATTTATTTGGATTAGTGTTAGTATTATTACATTGGGACATATCTAAATTCTACTGTACAATGGTAATATATTTCTGTCAAGTTAAACCGAACTTTTATTTTGACGGGTTGCCGTGAAGACCTTTTGAGTTTGTGTGTTTATGTCGTAATGATAGTTTTTCTCAAATGAAGCGGTTAAATGATCACGAAGTGACTTTCGGAGTGGATCTAGAGCCTGGAGAGGAAGTTTATGCATTTGTGTCTTCAGATAGGCAAAAAAACAGCGCAAGCGTCACACGTGCTTCAGTGTGTGTGTGTGTGTGTGTGTGTGTGTGTGTGTGTGGTACGTTAAATGAAACTGCGCGTCGGCTGCACCATTCATTCACACAGAACAAGCAGGATTCGTATTTAAATAGTCTTTGTGTTTTAATATCCACACACACTTGTCTACATCGCGATTTGATTTCAAGTGTATACTGAACTGCTTTCTATTTATTCCTCAAAAGATTGACAAATTCCATGAAATTCCGTGTTATACAGTAAATTTCTTTTTTATGACTGGATTTCGTCAGCAATTTAGGGGGGGCGGGGGGGCGGGCCGCCCCCCCAAAACAATGGTAGGGGAAACACTGATAACTATTAGGGCTGTTAGTTAAACGCGTTATTAACGGCGTTAACGCAAACCCATTTTAACGGCGTTAATTTTTTTATCGCGCGATTAACGCTCTTTTTGGCCTAGCAAACTTTGTAGTTTTTTTCACATGCTTTTGCAACAGGTCGCGGCATGCGCGGCGCGGCGCTATGAAACCCATTCATTTCAATGGCTTGCACCCATAGACTGTAAAAAAAAAAAAAAAAAGCTTGCGAGGACGTTTTGAAAGCGCAAGCGGATCTAGCTAGACCGGAAACAAAACAATTTGGGCTTGCGAGCCGGCCAAATAGTAGGTTAACATTACGGTTTGAGTGGATGACGACGCGAGACGCCGAAATGTACGGAGCCCCTAAAGGGACGTGGTGGTGGTGGAAAACATTTTTGGATGGGAGAAATTTTTTTTTCAAATCTTTTGCGTTCCCTCGCAAAACCTGTTGGCAGCTCGGACAGACTCTTCCTGTTTAATGTCCCGCTGGCAGTGCTTCAGAGCTCCGTACGTTAATGGAGCGTTTCATAGTGTTTGAACTTGGACTCGAATATAAAGAAATACGGTCAGTGCTTAACTCAAGGTGTTCAGTGAAGTTGGCAATACAGCCGATAGGCTACACATAGGCTATTCGAACTTCCCGGATCAATATTCTTGAGCTAAACGTTGTTAAAACACACACGGCACCTATTTACAATCACAGTAAACCTAGACAACGAGCTACAACCCAATTCTCCTCAAAACGAGCTTTATAATATAAATTTGTCTTTAACCGGCCGATTGAGAGACAATCCGAATAAGGGACCGTCTGCAAAGTGCAAATCCCAAAACCCATCTGCACATTTTATATTATTTAACATATTCAATAGCTTCACTGTGATACACTGTAGGCTACTGTCACCACATTCAGTTCCAATAACTTTACCCTTTTTAGAAAAAATATTCAGTAACTTCACACTGTTATACAGTGTAATGACATCAAATTCAGTAAGCAAATATAATGCAAAAGCTATGGTTGTAACTATAATGTTAGCTGCGTACAGTGCCAATATAATTTGTGTAAAGAATAGGCCTACTTATTTTTTTTATGTGCAATTACTTCCCAAACTAAGTGTTGTATAACCAACATTAGAGCAGTGATGTGTGAACTAAATTTGGTGTGTTACAGTGTTGACAGGAGCCATCTTTGGAAAACAGTCTCGACTAGTCAAACCACGAACGACGTGCTAAGTGAGCTGAACTGTATGAATGGCGTTCGTGGTTTGATTAGTCGAGACTGTTTTCCAAAGATGGCTCCTGTCTGTATACACGAAGTGGACTGTCTTCATAAAATATCTTCTTATTAAACGGTCTGCACACTTACACAGTTCTCGATGCTTCGGTTTGCATGTAGGGACCCTCATTATGTTACTGTGTTCGTGTGGAGCTATTTTGAGCCTTGTTAGTGGTATTAACTAGCGATTTCTTTTTACTTATTAAATGCCCCCATTACTAGCGTTATACGCTAAACAGTTTTTAGAGATAAAACTCTTTACATTCGATTATCATGAAAACAAATCTCAGAGAACGGTTGACTAGGTACCAATGTTTTATTAGACCAAAGGTTCATTTTGCGCCGGAGTTCTCCTTTAAGGCTTTTCAATCCTAGCCTGGTCCCACCAGACTCTCGTACATTTCATTTGTACAGAGAGTAGGGCATCGCTCCATTGACAAGCGTTAACTTCCTTGAAGGCGGGTCCTCTGATGAAGTCTAAAACTATTGGATCTGCCCAGAGCCACTTTGGATCTGCCATAACCAATCGCTGACGTTTGGTCGTGAATTGCAAGTTATACAGTCAGAATTGTGTGATATAAAGTCAGAAACTACAGAAAAGTCAGTATGACGACTCAATCTAGCGCACGACAACAACGTCCTCGTTCTCAGCCACTCCCTCTGTTCGCTGATTGGCCCGGGACAAAATTGACCGGAGAAAACCAAAGAATACAGCACAATCGCAGACGTAGTCCTGAAGGAAAATGAAAATTGAGCGGAAGTACGTAGGAGGGCGGAGCCAGGCTATTTCAATCCGGCATTATGACCCACAAATATTATTGCTAGATTTTACTCCACTAAAAAGTCGTGTCAAAAACGTTTTGCGGAAGACGCGGCATTGGAATCTATTTCACACAATTCTGACTTTATAAACTCGCAATTCTGACTTTATAACTCGCAATTCTGACTTTATAAACTCACAATTCCGACTTTACATCTCGCAATTCCGACTTTATATCACACAATTCTGACTTTATATCACACAATTACGACTTTATAACTCACAATTCCGACTTTACATCTCGCAATTCCGACTTTACATCTCGCAATTCCGACTTTATATCACACAATTCTGACTTTATATCACACAATTCTGACTTTATAACTCACAATTCTGACTTTATAAACTCACAATTCCGACTTTACATCTCGCAATTCCGACTTTATATCACACAATTCTGACTTTATATCACACAATTACGACTTTATAACTCACAATTCCGACTTTACATCACACAATTCTGACTTTATATCACACAATTCCGACTTTATATCACACAATTCTGACTTTATATCACACAATTCTGACTTTATATCACACAAGTCTGACTTTACAACACACAATTCTGACTTTATAAACTCACAATTCCGACTTTATAACTCACAATTCCGACTTTACATCACACAATTCTGACTTTATATCTCACAATTCCGACTTTACATCTCGCAATTCCGACTTTACATCTCGCAATTCCGACTTTATATCACACAATTCCGACTTTATATCACACAATTCTGACTTTATATCACAATTCTGACTTTATAAACTCACAATTCTGACTTTATAACTCGCAATTCCGACTTTATATCACACAATTCTGACTTTATATCACAAAATTCTGACTTTATATCACACAATTCTGACTTTATAACTCACAATTCTGACTTTACATCACACAATTCTGACTTTATAACACACAATTCTGACTTTATAAACTCACAATTCCGACTTTACATCTCGCAATTCCGACTTTACATCTCGCAATTCTGACTTTATAACTCGCAATTCTGACTTTATATCACACAATTCTGACTTTATAACTCACAATTCTGACTTTATAACTCACAATTCCGACTTTATATCACACAATTCTGACTTTATATCACACAATTCTGACTTTATAACTCACAATTCTGACTTTATAACTCACAATTCCGACTTTATATCACACAATTCTGACTTTATATCACACAATTCTGACTTTATATCTCACAATTCCGACTTTACATCTCGCAATTCCGACTTTACATCTCGCAATTCCGACTTTATATCACACAATTCCGACTTTATATCACACAATTCTGACTTTATATCACAATTCTGACTTTATAAACTCACAATTCTGACTTTATAACTCGCAATTCCGACTTTATATCACACAATTCTGACTTTATATCACAAAATTCTGACTTTATATCACACAATTCTGACTTTATAACTCACAATTCTGACTTTACATCACACAATTCTGACTTTACATCACACAATTCTGACTTTATAACACACAATTCTGACTTTATAAACTCACAATTCCGACTTTACATCTCGCAATTCCGACTTTACATCTCGCAATTCTGACTTTATAACTCGCAATTCTGACTTTACATCTCGCAATTCCGACTTTACATCTCGCAATTCCGACTTTATATCACACAATTCTGACTTTATAACTCAAAATTCTGACTTTATAACTCACAATTCCGACTTTATATCACACAATTCTGACTTTATATCACAAAATTTTGACTTTATATCACACAATTCTGACTTTATAACTCGCAATTCCGACTTTACATCTCGCAATTCCGACTTTATATCACACAATTCCGACTTTATATCACACAATTCTGACTTTATATCACACAATTCCGACTTTATAACACACAATTCTGACTTTATAAACTCACAATTCCGACTTTACATCTCGCAATTCCGACTTTACATCTCGCAATTCCGACTTTATATCACGCAATTCCGACTTTACATCTCGCAATTCCGACTTTACATCTCGCAATTCCGACTTTACATCTCGCAATTCTGACTTTACATCTCGCAATTCCGACTTTACATCTCGCAATTCCGACTTTATATCACACAATTCCGACTTTACATCACACAATTCTGACTTTACATCACACAATTCTGACTTTATAACACACAATTCTGACTTTATAAACTCACAATTCCGACTTTACATCTCGCAATTCCGACTTTACATCTCGCAATTCTGACTTTATAACTCGCAATTCTGACTTTACATCTCGCAATTCCGACTTTACATCTCGCAATTCCGACTTTATATCACACAATTCTGACTTTATATCACACAATTCTGACTTTATAACTCACAATTCTGACTTTATAACTCACAATTCCGACTTTATATCACACAATTCTGACTTTATATCACAAAATTTTGACTTTATATCACACAATTCTGACTTTATAACTCGCAATTCCGACTTTACATCTCGCAATTCCGACTTTATATCACACAATTCCGACTTTACATCTCGCAATTCCGACTTTACATCTCGCAATTCTGACTTTACATCTCGCAATTCCGACTTTACATCTCGCAATTCCGACTTTATATCACACAATTCCGACTTTACATCACACAATTCTGACTTTACATCACACAATTCTGACTTTATAACACACAATTCTGACTTTATAAACTCACAATTCCGACTTTACATCTCGCAATTCCGACTTTACATCTCGCAATTCTGACTTTATAACTCGCAATTCTGACTTTACATCTCGCAATTCCGACTTTACATCTCGCAATTCCGACTTTATATCACACAATTCTGACTTTATATCACACAATTCTGACTTTATAACTCACAATTCTGACTTTATAACTCACAATTCCGACTTTATATCACACAATTCTGACTTTATATCACAAAATTTTGACTTTATATCACACAATTCTGACTTTATAACTCGCAATTCCGACTTTACATCTCGCAATTCCGACTTTATATCACACAATTCCGACTTTATATCACACAATTCTGACTTTATATCACACAATTCCGACTTTATAACACACAATTCTGACTTTATAAACTCACAATTCCGACTTTACATCTCGCAATTCCGACTTTACATCTCGCAATTCCGACTTTATATCACGCAATTCCGACTTTACATCTCGCAATTCCGACTTTACATCTCGCAATTCCGACTTTACATCTCGCAATTCTGACTTTACATCTCGCAATTCCGACTTTACATCTCGCAATTCCGACTTTATATCTCGCAATTCCGACTTTATATCACACAATTCTGACTTTATATCACACAATTCTGACTTTATATCACACAATTCTGACTTTATAAACTCACAATTCTGACTTTATAACTCGCAATTCCGACTTTATATCACACAATTCTGACTTTATATCACACAATTCTGACTTTATATCACACAATTCTGACTTTATATCACACAAGTCTGACTTTATAACTCGCGATTTTTACTTTTTATATCATGCAATTCCAAAATGTAAACTCGCAATTGTGAGAAAAAAAGTCAGAATTACCTTTTTTTTCTTTTTCTTTTTTCTGTGGCTTCCATAAGATCTAGGGTTGATGTCATGAATATCGTTATTCTGTCTTTTTTTTCAGGGTCAGGGTGTGGTCAGAGAGTGGTTTGACATTCTGTCCAATGAGATCATCAACCCGGACTATGCGCTGTTTACACAATCTGCCGATGGTAAATGACGTCATCTCTAAAATGCAGTGTAGTTCAAATGTTTGTCTCCCCTGTCAGGATCCCACTAGCCAACTTCATATTGTCCAGCTGCTCTTCTGAAACATCTTCTCTTCTGTCTGTAACACTCATCAGTTGATATGGAAATAGAGTGACAAAAAACTGTAAAGAAAAAATAAGGATGCAATTCATAAAGTTCCCCTTTGAATGGGTGTAATATGGATTTGATTTTTTACAGAAATACAATACAAATTCTATGTGCATGTTTAGTTTCAATGAAAAAAACATTTACATTCTATCCACCTCATTTTGTAAAGTGGAAGCTATTTTTTGTGACTTTCCGATTCATTAGCCTTCATTATTCAATAACTGGAAGAATAGCTAAATGCTTTAAATGAAAAAAATAATTTGCGCTACAAACCAGCGTGTGCAATAATACATTTAAAAATATATAACAAATAACAGTTTGCAATAGCACGCAGCATGACAGACAGTTTTTGTACAGCTCAAATAACTGGAGGTGATGAGACCGGAAGTACAAATGTCCACTCCCGCTCTTACGTTAAAAATAAGGTGGATAAACATACAAGTGCAGGAAAATCCACTGGATTGAACAATCACCATGGAAGAGTCTGCGTTTACCATGTTGCTCTTGAAGAGGGAAAAGTTTGGAGCTGATCTGGCTCAGCAAGCAATTCTGCGTTTAAAAGACGTCTAATAGCGTCCAAACACAGCCCAGACGTCTAGGCTAAAACAAGGCACAATTTGGACTGTCAGAGAAAATTCAATAGACGTCTAAACCATATCCCAAGAAAAGACTATAGTCATCAATTAGATCACAAAGAAATTAAATGAGTGAAGAAATGAAACCAAACACCTTGTGACTGTGCTTACATGAAGGAATATCACACATCTCGCAAGTTATTCTGGCAAAGACGACATGGAACCAAATTGAAGGTTATTTTGGCTAAGAGTGTGTTGCTCATAGCCGGACTATATCAGGTCTATGGTTAACCGAGACGGTGAAATGACGGCTATTGCTTGCTGGGGGTGATCTGAGCCAGACGAGACCGAGAAGGCTTCTCTCAGTGTGGGGAAAGCTCATTGGTCCCTGTCAAAGGGCAGCTTGATGTTATCTGAGGGCCATGAACTCTGCTGGGACTCGCTGAGGACATTACCATCACCCGCTGAGAGATGTGCCACAGAGTCTTTAAGTCAAGTCATCCTCATTTATATAGCGCTTTTAGCAATGGAGATTGTTTCAAAGCTGCTTTACAGAGATAAACATATAATTTAAGGTAACAGAGATTGGTTTTTGATTGATTCACTTCCGTCGAAATGATCATTTGTTATTAAATTAGGGGCCGCTAAGACGACACCGTTCTCTCTACACAGACATTAAACGCGAACCTGTGATAAACGCTGATGCCGTTCACATGCGCATTAAGGATTTATTCTATAGTTATGTGCGTTTGAATATAAGTGTACAGGTTTGTAATTCCCTACAAACCATGCCTAAACAAACTACTTGTCTTGCCTATACATTTTGATACAGAATTTTATTTTATTTTATGAACGACTTTAAATGAACGACTTCAAATCAGCAAAGAGAGATTGGCTAGTGGGAATCCGCCTTCAGAAGAATCATCTCCTCTGGGATTTATGCAGAAATAGATAACATTCCCTTCCCTTCTCAGATACACTATGTTGTGTTTAAATATGTATACATGTGTTTTGCATGTGTATGCATGGATTATTTTTTTTTTTTTCATTTACAGGTACCACGTTTCAACCCAACAGTAATTCCTCTGTAAATCCAGACCATCTGAACTACTTCCGATTTGCTGGTCAAATCCTGGGTCTGGCTCTCTATCATCGACAGCTGGTGAACATCTACTTCACACGCTCCTTTTACAAGCACATACTGGGTAACACACTCCACTCTCAGAGTCACTCTGTGTCAGCACATTTCTATTTACATTGACTCTGTTTGTTGAACTTGTTCTTGCATGCATATGTGTACAGATGAACTTGTATAGACATGCTTGATGCGCTTTAATCAACTCAATACATGGTCATCAGGGTTTGAAATTAACACCTGCTAAATTCGGGTAAAAATCAACTGTGGCGGGAAACGCTGTCAAATCACGAGCCAATTTGGCGTGTTACTAAACTTATTATGTTTACTCTGCTGGGGAAGTTCGTGCAAGCCCAATCTGCGCAGATTTAGCGCAAATACTCAACTCGTGAGTCTTCATGATATATTAAAAATGGTGTATTGCTCAGGATCTGCACATATCTGGCTTACTTGAACACACACGTCACTAAGCAACAAATAACGGTGCGCTTGTTCATTTGCACTGAAGCAATAGCGAAGATTAAAAAGCTTTTGATTAACAGACATTGTTATTTTCCAACATCCTACATTTTTAGATGTTCTTTGTACTGTATTGATCTGTCCATCGAAAACACAATTATGGTGATGAGGATGAAAGAGAAAGGGAGGAGATGCTGGATGACAGGTTTTTGTTTGAATAAGAAATGAATGTATGAAATCAATTTTATTATATATATATATATATACACTCACCGGCCACTTTATTAGGTACCCCATGCTAGTAACGGGTTGGACCCCCTTTTGCCTTCAGAACTGCCTTAATTCTTCGTGGCATAGATTCAACAAGGTGCTGGAAGCATTCCTCAGGGAGTTTGGTCCATATTGACATGATGGCATCACACAGTTGCCGCAGATTTGTCGGCTGCACATCCATGATGCGAATCTCCCGTTCCACCACATCCCAAAGATGCTCTATTGGGTTGAGATCTGGTGACTGTGGAGGCCATTTTAGTACAGTGAACTCATTGTCATGTTCAAGAAACCAATTTGAAATGATTAGAGCTTTGTGACATGGTGGAAGTAGCCATCAGAGGAGGGGTACATGGTGGCCATAAAGGGATGGACATGGTCAGAAACAATGCTCAGGTAGGCCGTGGCATTTAAACGATGCCCAATTGGCACTAAGGGGCCTAAAGTGTGCCAGGAAAACATCCCGCACACCATTACACCACCACCACCAGCCTGCACAGTGGTAACAAGGCATGATGGTTCCATGTTCTCATTCTGTTTACGCCAAATTCTGACTCTAACATCTGAATGTCTCAACAGAAATCGAGACTCATCAGACCAGGCAACATTTTTCCAGTCTTCAACTGTTCAATTTTGGTGAGCTCTTGCAAATTGTAGCCTCTTTTTCCTATTTGTAGTGGAGATGAGTGGTACCCGGTGGGGTCTTCTGCTGTTGTAGCCCATCCGCCTCAAGGTTGTGCGTGTTGTGGCTTCACAAATGCTTTGCTGCATACCTCGGTTGTAACGAGTGGTTATTTCAGTCACTGTTGCCCTTCTATCAGCTCGAACCAGTCTGGCCATTCTCCTCTGACCTCTGGCATCAACAAGGCATTTCCGCCCACAGAACTGCCGCTCACTGGATGTTTTTTCTTTTTCGGACCATTCTCTGTAAACCCTAGAGATGGTTGTGCGTGAAAATCCCAGTAGATTAGCAGTTTCTGAAATACTCAGACCAGCCCTTCTGGCACCAACAATCATGCCACGTTCAAAGTCACTCAAATCACCTTTCTTCCCCATACTGATGCTCGGTTTGAACTGCAGGAGATTGTCTTGACCATGTCTACATGCCTAAATGCACTGAGTTGCCGCCATGTGATTGGCTGCTTAGAAATTAAGTGTTAACGAGCAGTTGGACAGGTGTACCTAATAAAGTGGCCGGTGAGTGTATATATATATATATATATATACCGTAAAACTTCAAATAATAGCCGAGTCCCAAATAGACGCCCGTCTCTTTTACACGCCTGGTGTGGCTGCAGGTTTGGGTAAATAAAGGCCGGTCTCAAATAGAGCCCGGGTCTGTTTTTTAGTTTCGGGTTGTATTTAATCTTCTAAAACCTTCAGATCGTCCGCTTTTTGGCGGCCGCCAAAGCAAATTTTTGGCCCTCCAAAGCCTTTTTTGATCGATGAGTGATGTAGAATAGAATGACTGCTGCGCATAACGAGCAGAGAGAGAGAGAGAGAGAGCGAGCGCCCCGGCCGCGCGCGCGCACTCTCCCGTCTTCAAACACCACGAGCGCTGTCTTGCTCTCTCTCCCTTGCGCATATTAATCAAAATCAATTGATGCGATAGTAAAAGGTCGGAAGACCGCAGTTTCACGTGGAGCATTTGGAGATGTTTAGAGATTAGAGACTCTAGGCCTGTACACTCAATGAACAACATCTCAACACTAAATTATAAAGGCCTGTCTCATATAGACGCCTGTCTCAAATACAAGCCGGTGCAGTTCGACTATTTGGGAAAAGAAAAGCCCGGGCTACTATTTGAAGTTTTACGGTATATATATACACTCACCTAAAGGATTACTAGGAACACCTGTTCAATTTCTCATTAATGCAATTATCTAATCAACCAATCACATGGCAGTTGCTTCAATGCATTTAGGGGTGTGGTCCTGGTCAAGACAATCTCCTGAACTCCAAACTGAATGTCAGAATGGGAAAGAAAGGTGATTTAAGCAATTTTGAGCGTGGCATGGTTGTTGGTGCCAGACGGGCCGGTCTGAGTATTTCACAATCTGCTCAGTTACTGGGATTTTCACGCACAACCATTTCTAGGGTTTACAAAGAATGGTGTGAAAAGGGAAAAACATCCAGTATGCGGCAGTCCTGTGGGCGAAAGGGGGTCAAACACAGTATTAGTATGGTGTTCCTAATAATCCTTTAGGTGAGTGTATATAAAAAGCTGTGATGCAGTTAATCTGGTTTATATCTTTTTTTTTTTTTTTTAGGGGGCTAGTAGAAGTTCTGGCTGGCCGGTAACTTAAACATTTAGTACCCTGATGGTCATTGTCATTGCGCATGATTACAAGCACAAGAATCAGAAATTGTCAAATGCATCATGTACCCAATAAGCCACAAACTGATTAAGCCAGTTTCACGGTTTGTAGAGTGGGAAAATAATGTGCATATAAACAAGCATCACGTGTTAAAATGTGTTGTGTGTGATCTTCGCAGGCATCCCAGTGAGCTATCAGGATGTGTCGTCCATTGACCCAGAGTATGCTAAAAATCTTCAGTGGATCCTGGACAATGACATCAGTGATCTTGGCCTTGAGCTCACCTTTTCCGTGGAGACGGATGTGTTCGGAAACATGGAAGAGTTCCCGCTCAAACCAGGAGGAACTGCCATTCAGGTCACCCAAGACAACAAGGTAATAGACTGTAAAAAAAAAAAAAACTTGTGCCGCGCGAGGATGTTTTGAAAGCGCAAGCGGATCTAGCTAGACCGGAAACAAAACAACAGGCACGCCGCACACACTTGTTTGGCCTTGCGAGCTGGACAAATAGTAGGTTAACATTACGTTTTGAGTGGATGACGAGCGCGAGACGCCGAAATGGATCCCAATAAGATTCTGAATGGAAAGTTTACTTTTAAAAAGTTGCCAAATGGTTCCATTGACGAGACCAAAGTGATCTGTGTGTGTTGTCGTTGTGAACTGAGCTATCATCATCACAGCACGTCCAGTCTGAAACACCACTTGATGATGGCCAAGCACACACACACACACACACACACACACAGCTAATGCAAATTCTCCGCCCCCTCGTCAGTATTTCTTTCACCCTTTTATTGATGGACAGTGTTACACTGTGTGGGAGATTATTTGCTCCAAGTGAGAATGTTAGTGTGAAATTGAACAGTCTATGCCAGTGTTGTTTTCAATAAAAAACATTTGCACAAAGCAAGCCGATCCACTTTTCCATGTTGATAAGAGCATTAAAATTAGAAAAATAATGGGACAAAAAGAAATCAAGAGACATTTAGAATAGATCAAAATGTGCGATTAATCGCAAGTTAACTATGACATTAATGTGATTAATCGCGATTAAATATTTTAATTGTTTGACAGCACTAATATATATATAGGTGTGTCATTGTTTTCGGTTAGAAGTGTCTCAGTTCTCTTTTATAGTCAAGTAAACTATATGTGAGTCGAGACAAATCCTGATTTGTCATTTAGAGCATTTATTTGCATAAAATAGCAGTTGGTTAAAATGGTAACACTTTACGATAAGGTTCATTAGTTAACATTAGTTAACTACCTTAGTTAACATAAACTAAGAATGAACAATACTTCTACAGCATTTATTAATCTTAGTTAATATTAATTGCAACATTTACTAATACATTATTAAAATCAAAGGTTGTATTAACATTAGTTAATGCACTGTGAACTAACATGAACAGCTGTATTTTTATTAACTAACATTAACAAAGATTAATAAATACTGTAACAAATGTATTGCTTATTGTTAGTTCATGGTAGTTAATTAACTAATGTTTACTAATGAACCTTATTGTAGTGTTACCGTTTTAGTGTTACTGAAAACATATTTGTGGCATGTTTAAATCAAACCGTTGGAATCATCTGTAGGGAACATTGGGGTAAGATGAGCCAATTACCAGGCTAGTTAAAGGGGTCATCGGATGCAAAATTCACTTGTATATGGTGTTTGCATATAAGTGTGTGTTTGCAGTGTGTGGACACAACCACCATACAATGAGAAAAATCCATTCACTCCTTTTTTTTTTTTTTTTTTTATCCTCAAAAAGCCTTAACACTCATATGTCATATAATATGTCATATAATGAGCAGTTGCTCATTATCATTTAAAGAGACATGCACTGAAACAGGTCGCTGTGAACAGAGCTGTTTTTGAGGAGGTAAAAAGGGAGTCGTTTTACATGAAGACCCTAAATAATCATCCCAACTTTTGGAAAATGGGCATCCGATGACCCCTTTAGTATTCATTACATTTGAAGCTAGTTGTGTCTCTTTCTAACCATCATGTTTTAAATAATTTCCCTCATTAAAAACTTTTACACATGAAATCAAGGTACTTTAGAAAAAGATGAATTGTAGTTTTCAAAAAGCAGTTTAAATCATTTACATGAGTTTTTTTGTTGGTGGTATTCGCCCTCTTTTTAGTCACCCAAGACTACTGAGTACAAAGCGCTCTCTCTGTGGTTGTGAAGAAGTGAATGATGGTTTGATTTGTGCTGTTTCTGTGTGTGTCAGGAGGAGTATGTGCAGCTGGTGACGGAGCTCAGGATGACCCGAGCCATTCAGCCGCAGATCAATGCTTTCCTGCAGGGCTTTCACACTTTCATCCTTCCCTCGCTCATACAGCTCTTTGATGAATATGAGCTGGTCAGTGGATTCCTCCTCTCATCTCTGCATGAGACTCATGCAAAGATCTCTTTATATTCTCATGTTGCATTTTCCATTTGGAGTTTCTCTCTGCTGTTTTTCTTTCCTGTGCTCACTGAAGAAAAGAACAAATCATAGTATGTTTTGTAGTATGGATTAAGACGATAGAGCTGAGCACCAGTTAAATGAGCAGGTTAATTAGTTCTTTCAAACACATCCTGTATATATATATACGATTCATCCACAACATAAACATTATATTAGCACTTGCATTTGCACTGCTATTGCTGTGAAAGCACAAGTAAACTGGAATCAAGACACACGGTTACTTAACCAGACGCGATGCGATTGCAGCGACAAGCAATTTGTCTGTCTACCTCAGATGTGACACCACAAAATCAATTAAAAAGCACAGCCAATCAGAAGAGCGTGTGGGCGGAGTCTCTCTGCAAGAGCACTGCACTCGTAACCAAATAAATAAAAAACCACAGCCAATCAGAAGAGAGTGTGGACGGAGTCTCTCCAAGTGCTCTGGACTTGCAACCAAAACAATTAAAAACCACAGCCAATCAGAAGAGAGTGTGGGTGGAGTCTCTCCCTAAGTGCACTGCACTCGCAACCAAATCAATCAAAAACCACAGCCAATCAGAAGAGCGTGTGGGCGGAGTCTCTCCAAGCGCACTGCACTGGTAACCAAATCAATAAGAAACCATAGCCAATCAGAAGAGCGTGTGGGCGGAGTCTCTCTGCAAGCGCACTGCACTCGTAACCAAACAATTAAAAACCACAGCCATTCAGAAGAGCGTGTGGGCGGAGTCTCTCCAAGCGCACTGCACTCGTAACCGAATCAATCAAAAACCACAGCCAATCAGAAGAGAGTGTTGTCGGAGTCTCTCCAAGTGCTCTGGACTTGCAACCAAAACAATTAAAAACCACAGCCAATCAGAAGAACGTGTGGGGGTGGAGTCTCTCCCTAAGTGCACTGCACTCGCAACCAAATCAATCAAAAACCACAGCCAATCAGAAGAGCGTGTGGGCGGAGTCTCTCCCTAAGTGCACTGCACTCGCAACCAAATCAATCAAAAACCACAGCCAATCAGAAGAGCGTGTGGGCGGAGTCTCTCCAAGCGCACTGCACTCGTAACCAAATCAATAAGAAACCATAGCCAATCAGAAGAGCGTGTGGGCGGAGTCTCTCTGCAAGCGCACTGCACTCGTAACCGAATCAATCAAAAACCACAGCCAATAAGAAGAGCGTGTGGGAGGAGTCTCTCCAAGTGCTCTGGACTCACAACCAAATCAATCAAAAATCACAGCCAATCAGAAGAGCGTGTGGGAGGAGTCTCTCCAAGTGCTCTGGACTCACAACCAAATCAATCAAAAACCACAGCCAATCAGAAGAGCGTGTGGGCGGAGTCTCTCCAAGTGCTCTGGACTCACAACCAAACAATTAAAAACCACAGCCATTCAGAAGAGCGTGTGGGCGGAGTCTCTCCAAGCGCACTGCACTCGTAACCGAATCAATCAAAAACCACAGCCAATCAGAAGAGAGTGTTGTCGGAGTCTCTCCAAGTGCTCTGGACTTGCAACCAAAACAATTAAAAACCACAGCCAATCAGAAGAACGTGTGGGGGTGGAGTCTCTCCCTAAGTGCACTGCACTCGCAACCAAATCAATCAAAAACCACAGCCAATCAGAAGAGCGTGTGGGCGGAGTCTCTCCAAGCGCACTGCACTCGTAACCAAATCAATAAGAAACCATAGCCAATCAGAAGAGCGTGTGGGCGGAGTCTCTCTGCAAGCGCACTGCACTCGTAACCAAACAATTAAAAACCACAGCCATTTAGAAGAGCGTGTGGGCGGAGTCTCTCCAAGCGCACTGCACTCGTAACCGAATCAATCAAAAACAACAGCCAATAAGAAGAGCGTGTGGGAGGAGTCTCTCCAAGTGCTCTGGACTCACAACCAAATCAATCAAAAATCACAGCCAATCAGAAGAGCGTGTGGGAGGAGTCTCTCCAAGTGCTCTGGACTCACAACCAAATCAATCAAAAACCACAGCCAATCAGAAGAGCGTGTGGGCGGAGTCTCTCCAAGTGCTCTGGACTCACAACCAAACAATTAAAAACCACAGCCATTCAGAAGAGCGTGTGGGCGGAGTCTCTCCAAGCGCACTGCACTCGTAACCGAATCAATCAAAAACCACAGCCAATAAGAAGAGCGTGTGGGAGGAGTCTCTCCAAGTGCTCTGGACTCACAACCAAATCAATCAAAAACCACAGCCAATAAGAAGAGCGTGTGGGAGGAGTCTCTCCAAGTGCTCTGGACTCACAACCAAACAATTAAAAACCACAGCCATTCAGAAGAGCGTGTGGGCGGAGTCTCTCCAAGCGCACTGCACTCGTAACCGAATCAATCAAAAACCACAGCCAATAAGAAGAGCGTGTGGGAGGAGTCTCTCCAAGTGCTCTGGACTCACAACCAAATCAATCAAAAACCACAGCCAATAAGAAGAGCGTGTGGGAGGAGTCTCTCCAAGTGCTCTGGACTCACAACCAAACAATCAAAAACCACAGCCAATAAGAAGAGCGTGTGGGAGGAGTCTCTCCAAGTGCTCTGGACTCACAACCAAATCAATCAAAAACCACAGCCAATCAGAAGAGCGTGTGGGTGGAGTCTCTCTCTAAGTGCACTGCACTCACAACCAAATCAATCAAAAACCACAGCCAATCAGAAGAGCGTGTGGCCGGAGTCTCTGCAAGCGCACTGCACTTGTAACCAAATCAATAAAAACCACAGCCAATCAGAAGAACCTGTGGGGGTGGAGTCTCTCCCTAAGTGCACTGCACTCGCAACCAAATCAATCAAAAACCACAGCCAATCGGAAGAGCATGTGGGCGGAGTCTCTCCAAGCGCACTGCACTCGTAACCAAATCAATCAGAAACCACAGCCAATAAGAAGAGCGTGTGGGAGGAGTCTCTCAAAGTGCTCTGGACTCACAACCAAATCAATCAAAAACCACAGCCAATCAGAAGAGCGTGTGGGCGGAGTCTCTCCAAGTGCACTGCACTCGTAACCAAATCAATAAAAAACACAGCCAATCAGAAGAACCTGTGGGGGTGGAGTCTCTCTCTAAGTGCACTGCACTCACAACCAAATCAATCAAAAACCACAGCCAATCAGAAGAGCGTGTGGCCGGAGTCTCTGCAAGCGCACTGCACTCGTAACCAAATCAATAAGAAACCACAGCCAATCAGAAGAGCGTGTGGGCGGAGTCTCTCTGCAAGCGCACTGCACTTGTAACCAAATCAATAAAAACCACAGCCAATCAGAAGAACCTGTGGGGGCGGAGTCTCTCTGCAAGTGCACTGCACTCACAACCAAATCAATCAAAAACCACAGCCAATCAGAAGAGCGTGTGGCCGGACTCTCTTTGCAAGCGCACTGCACTCGTAACCAAATCAATAAAAAACCACAGCCAATCAGAAGAGTGTGTGGGCGGAGTCTCTCTGCAAGCGCACTGCACTTGTAACCAAATCAATAAAACCACAGCCAATCAGAAGAGTGTGTGGGCGGAGTCTCTCTGCAAGCGCACTGCACTTGTAAACAAATCAATAAAACCACAGCCAATCAGAAGAGTGTGTGGGCGGAGTCTCTCTGCAAGCGCACTGCACTTGTAACCAAATCAATAAAACCACAGCCAATCAGAAGAGTGTGTGGGCGGAGTCTCTCTGCAAGCGCACTGCACTTGTAAACAAATCAATAAAAACCACAGCCAATCAGAAGAGTGTGTGGGCGGAGTCTCTCTGCAAGCGCACTGCACTTGTAACCAAATCAATAAAAACCACAGCCAATCAGAAGAGTGTGTGGGCGGAGTCTCTCTGCAAGCGCACTGCACTTGTAACCAAATCAATAAAAACCACAGCCAATCAGAAGAGTGTGTGGGCGGAGTCTCTCTGCAAGCGCACTGCACTTGTAACCAAATCAATAAAAACCACAGCCAATCAGAAGAGCGTGTGGGCGGAGTCTCTCCAAGCGCACTGCACTCGTAACCAAATCAATAAAAACCACAGCGAATCAGAAGAGCGTGTGGGCGGAGTCTCTCCAAGCGCACTGCACTCGTAACCAAATCAATAAAAACCACAGCCAATCAGAAGAGCGTGTGGGCGGAGTCTCTCCAAGCGCACTGCACTCGTAACCAAATCAATAAAAAACCACAGCCAATCAGAAGAGCGTGTGGGCGGAGTCTCTCTGCAAGCGCACTGCACTCACAACCAAATCAATCAAAAACCACAGCCAATCAGAAGAGTGTGTGGGCGGAGTCTCTCCAAGTGCACTGCACTCGTAACCAAATAATTGTTACATTTAAAAATTAAAAATACAAACTGAGTGACTGAAACAATCTTTGTCAAAGAATACACGTTTGTTCACACTGAGTTTACAGTTTAAACAGTTTTGTTTACTTTAATTTATTTTCAATATCTAAGGTAAATTATCTATTGTAACTTTAAATATAGCTGCAAAGGTCATGCAAAATGATATTCAAACTCACGTTAAATTCATTTAACATTAAATAAAGCACAAAATCAGTACCCGAGATTATCATTGTCATACTTTATACTTTACATTTCTAAAATAGAGTCGTCGCGTATTGCCGTCGTGTCTGGTTTGGACAAAACTCAGATTAAAAGGTGCCGCTTATCGTGTGTGACGTTGTGAATACACCGTTGCCGTAACAACACACTACAAAATCCTAAACAGTCTCTAAAATAGAGAAACATAACATCTGACGTGTGAAGAATTCACAACACAGTAAGTAAACAACTACAACAAAATAATGATATGCTGTTATAGGAGCTCAGGTTTTCACTAGGTTGGTTTTACATGTTGACTTTTATTTTGATAAATGTTTTATATGTTGATAAATGTTTATACATTTTTCAAAATCTCTGTAAATTAGGTTAATATTTTTGATAAAGTCAGCATGAAAGGGAAGTTACGCTGGTATTTTCTTCTCTAGTGTGCCGTATATCCGAGTGAAACGCTTCTGGAACAAGAACAAATGTGGGCGGGGCTTGATTGTGTCTGTGGGGAATTGATTGGATGGTTGTGGTTTGCTATTGGTGGACATCATGTGAGTGACAGGTTATAGCCCCGCCCTCGTTGTCAGAATATTAATATTTTGAGTGAACTGTTTCTTTAAAAGTAGTTAGGAATGCCTAAATCAGAGCCTGTGTGTGTTTATCTGCTGCGGATGCTTGATGGCATTGCGTGTGTGTGTGTGTGTGTGTGTGTGTGTGTGAGTAGGAGCTGCTGTTGTCAGGCATGCCTGAAATCGATGTGATGGACTGGAAGAGGAACACAGAGTACACTAGTGGATATGACCTGCAGGAGCCTGTGATACAGGTATCCCATCAGCACAACTATAATTCTCTTCAGGGAAGAAATATTATCAACTTTTACACATCACAGCATACACATTTATTAATAGTGAGAGCACTTGTCAGAGATAGCAACGATAGTAATGGCTGAATAAAGTTAATTGTTACACTTTTTTTTTAATGCTGCAGCGATTAAAAACAATACATAAAAATGTATCAGTTCACAAATATCTGCTGTTTTATAGTTTCAGTGATGTTATAGGCCAGCCTGTGTCAGCCAGACTACAGTTACAGACTTACATGCGTCTCTGTTACAGTGGTTTTGGGAAGTGGTTGAAAATCTCACTCAAGAAGAAAGAGTCCTCCTCCTGCAGTTTGTTACAGGAAGGTGCGTATCGATATTTCCTCAAGCTGTATTCAGGCTTTTAAAACAGGGAATGCTGTATAAATATTGTCAGAGAGTAACTATTAAGCATTTATAAGCTTGTGACACTTATAGGGTACAATAGTGACTTCGTTCCTTCCTGATACTAAGCTTGAAGTTTTTCTCTCTCTCCAAATTTTCTGCCTTAAAAGAAAAAATGTCTGAGAAAAAGAGGGAGAAAATGGAGAAGGAGAATTCTTTGGTGTCACAGTTTTAAGGATGGTTGCATGCTTTGTAAATCCATTACATGCTAAATGTTTTCAGAATTTATTTTTATTTTTTATGTTCTTGATGTTGTGTTTGGGCTCTACTAGAACAGGTTTTCATGCTTGAATGTTCAATAAACACATTATTTCCTCATATTCTCCATTGTTGCGGCTCCTCTCTTCCCAGTCTGTCAGTAACGCTCTGTTTACTTCCTGTCTCTGTGAAGCCCCTCCTTCTGAAAAGCACACTGTGCTCTGATTGGTCGGCTGGAGCAGTGTGTTGTGATTGGTCGAGCGTTTCGAGTGTGTTTGGGAAATGTCCCGCCCCTTTCCATAACCACCAGTTTAACACACTACTAACTAACTCAACCAGGCCCCGCCCCTTTATTCTGCGTATTAATTATTATAATGAGGAATATTGAGACATGTTCGTTCCCGGGAGAAACTCAAGACTACAATGGAGGCGTTTCAGGAGTTCAGAAACACTGACACTGATATAGAGAATCTTAGAGAATCTCCTTCATTTTACATAAATGTTATTTTCTAGACATTACTGTGAAGTATTGTTAAAATTAGCTATTACAGTTATTCCCTGTTAAAATAGTGTATTTTAGTGTTTTGTTTCCCTCCCACAAAACAATTAAACCTTGTTATAGCAGAAAAAAATAATGAAAATTAATAATAAAAAAAGAAAAGTTCTATAGTTTTTTTTTTCCCTTTGCTTAAAATATTTTATAGACTACAAATACCTTTTTTTTGTGAGGAAAGTCACTTATTATGTACAATAGTAATACTAACATATATAATTACAAATGATGTAAATCCCTGATACAGTAATTCAGTAAAAAATCCATGAACATTTATGAATTTACACTATTTAAGACTGATCTAAGTAACCCCCAGTTTAACACACTACTAACTAACTCAACCAGGCCCCGCCCCTTTATTCTGCGTATTAATTATTTAAATGAGGAATATTGTGACGTATTCCTTCCCGAAACTCAAGACTACAATGGAGGCGTTTCAGGAGTTCAGAAACACTGACACTGATATAGAGGAGAACTGGAGCTTTTCCAGGCTCAAACAGCAACATAATCCCCTTTTTTCTTTTCGTCTAACAGTTCAAGAGTCCCTCACGGAGGATTTGCTTTCCTGATGGGCGGCAGTGGTCTCCAGAAGTTTACTATCGCCGCTGTGCCCTACACATCAAACCTACTGCCTACCTCTAGCACATGGTGAGCCGTGAGGACAGTGCTGTTCAGCTCTAGAGGGCACTGTGGCTCTGCTCTGAACACAATGATGAACAACAGGGACAGGAACAAAGAATAACACATACAAAAAAAGTGCATGCAATGAAACCAGTGTGACTCTCACTTACCTATCTCTCTGTTCTCCCAGCATTAACATGCTGAAACTCCCAGAATACCCCAGCAAGGACGTCCTGCGTGATCGTTTGCTGGTTGCACTGCATTGTGGGAGTTACGGATACACCATGGCGTGACGCGGGCGTTTGCGTTTGCTGAGACTTCTGCTGTATGGACACACAACGCACACACGACTCAGTTCAGGGATTCTTTAAATTTCGAGTCTATGACTAGGACACGAGTGGAGAACGACACGAGCTCATGAGGTCACGACACTCCAGGCGCCGAGGCCGGTTTGCATGTATGAAAACAAGTCCAGGTCACATTTCACCATCAATTCCAAATAAGAAATTATATTTTGCGTAAAGAAAATTAAGCCTTTTTAGGGCCTTTAAGATTTATTTTATATATTCCCATTGCTGTAATAGTCATGTTTTCTGTATTACATCAAAAACCATTACTATTTTACATTTTCTTTCTTATTAAAATGAGCATAAATTATCAAGATAGATAAAAACTTGACTTTTTGTTTGTTGTTGATGTTTTTCCACAAAATGTAATTTGTCTTGAAAATACACTATGCATTTAAATATTTCTTTTTTCATTTTTTGGTGAAATATGACCCACGTATGTTCTTGACCGGTTTCATAAGATCCTCTCTTATGGTCTGTTGGATTCATTCATGCAAAAGTCAGTTTATAACTGTATTCCAGGCTGTATTATTTCAGCTATTTGATGCTGTTTAACTCACGCCATGCTTCAGTTGCATGTGTGTTTGTGTGTGTGTGTGTGTGGAGATGCATGTGAGGTGGTTGAATATTTATAGCTGATAAAGTCAACACATTATTGAAAATTGTTTTGTTTTTCTGTTGCATTGATGTATTTGTCTCTTGTGGCACACTTTCTCTTAGTGTTCTAGACTGTTTTTTACTCTCATGATTATTGTGCCATATATATTTTTCATGTACTCAAATGTATTTAGTTATATATGAGGTTGTCATCATAGTCCAAAAATTCTTTATTTTATATTTATGTCTAAATCGTTTCTGTGCAATTAAGTTATTCTGTAAAAGTATCAAATAATGTGTTTGGGGTGTGCCAAATATTCTCACCAACAAATCATATAGCTCCCTCACGTTTGTAAAACACGGACATGTCAAGAAATGATTTTGAAAAGGGAAGTCAGATCATTTTAGGAATGTATAATATCTTTACTATTGGTTGTGAATTAAAGTGAAAATGTAGATTTATAAATCTATTTATTCTAATTTATCATTATGATTTGGGATTCAAATTTGTTTTTGTACTTGTAATAACGGAGTATACTGCACAATCTTTTGGATATTACAGATTGGCATCAAAAATATTAAAGTATGGATTTTATTACAAATGAAGCTAACTATTATTTGTTTGTGTTTAACCATTTTAGAAGGTTTCAACAAGCATAATTCATTTCTATGACAAGCGATGACATATTTCTGTGGGCCAACCATGAAGTCAGCATCACCTGGTTCCCTCAACGACAAACCAGTAGGATTTGTTTTATTATCTTTTGGATTATAGCAGAAACTAAGCTCTGTGACCAACACATGTTTTTGATTCTTACGTTTGTTTTTGTTTTTTTTCTTCATCGTGATAATCTTGAGCACAAACTTTTATGAAGTTTGAAGCCTATATATACAATTAGCAGAAGTAAAAAGCTAAACGTAGGCTATGAACGAACTAAACCATGGTCACATGACTTCAACATCACAATCATTAAGTTAACTCTTTCATTCTTCAAGGTGGTTTTACTGGTGTATTTCATGTTGTAGGATAATACATACAAATATCTTGACCTTTCAGGCATTTAACCAAAAACCCATTGAATTTAGGCCGATGGAACCGGAAATGCTAAAATGCAAACTCTGCGTTTTGGCCTACAAAAATACGTCACGCCTTTAAAAACTACACTTGACACTGGTTTCTCTCAAAAACTTACATAAACACAATCTTAGCTTTCATTTTCTCCTGCTGAAGCTCAGCATCTTGAATACGACCAAGCACCTCACAACATGCAACGCATCGATTCCTGCCTACTATTACCATAGTGTGTATGAGGCCCTGGGCAGTCGGTGAAAGTGCTGTTTTGAAATCACCTGCTCACTACGGTAGTGCTATTGTGATTGCAAGCTGTTCTCCATGGCAACGCAGCATCCAGAGCAAGAGCGACTCCGCATGGGAGCTGGGACAGATGCCAACTAAACATATGTCACCATGACAGACGAGCAAAAACAAGATTGAACGAGTCAGAGAAGCAGGGGGAACTAGAATACGCTTGAATAGAACAGAACCCTGGACCACAAAACCAGTCATATGGGTACATTTTTTGAAATTGAGATTTACATATCACCCGGAAGCTAAATAGATAAGCTTTCCATTGATGTTTGGTTTGTAGGGATAGGACAATATTTGGCCGAGATACAACTATTTGAACATATGGAATCTGAGGGTGTAAAAAAATCTTAACATTGAGAAAATCGCCTTTACAGTTGTCCAAATGAAGTTAAGGCAGCCACTCACAAAAAAATACATTTCATATATTTACGGTAGGAGATTTACAAAAATGATTTTTGGCATACAATAAAAAAATTATTTTGACCCATACAGTATATTGTTGGCTATTGCCACAAATATATACCATGCTACTTATGACTGGTTTTGTGATCGAGGGTCACATATACATACTGAAGACATACTGAAAATTGTACTGTTTAATTTAGTATTATTTTGATGGGGTGAGAGGAAGGAGAAACATAAAGGCATGAGGGATGAGAGGGAGGAGAAACATAAAGGCATGAGGGGGTGAAAGGGAGGAGAAACATAAAGGCATGATGGGTGAGAGGAAGGAGAAACAAAGGCATGAGGGGGTGAGAGGAAGGAGAAACATAAAGGCATGATGGGTGAGAGGGAGGAGAAACAAAGGCATGAGGGGGTGAGAGGAAGGAGAAACATAAAGGCATGATGGGTGAGAGGGAGGAGAATCATAAAGGCATGAGGGGGTGAGAGGGAGGAGAAACATAAAGGCATGATGGGGTGAGAGGGAGGAGAAACATAAAGGCATGAGGGGGTGAGAGGAAGGAGAAACATAAAGGCATGAGGGGGTGAGAGGGAGGAGAAACATAAAGGCATGAGGGGGTGAGAGGGAGGAGAAACATAAAGGCATGATGGGGTGAGAGGGAGGAGAAACATAAAGGCATGATGGGTGAGAGGGAGGAGAATCATAAAGGCATGAGGGGGTGAGAGGAAGGAGAAACATAAAGGCATGAGGGGGTGAGAGGGAGGAGAAACATAAAGGCATGAGGGGGTGAGAGGGAGGAGAAACATAAAGGCATGATGGGTGAGAGGAAGGAGAAACATAAAGGCATGAGGGGGTGAGAGGGAGGAGAAACATAAAGGCATGATGGGTGAGAGGGAGGAGAAACAAAGGCATGAGGGGGTGAGAGGGAGGAGAAACATAAAGGCATGAGGGGGTGAGAGGAAGGAGAAACATAAAGGCATGAGGGGGTGAGAGGGAGGAGAAACAAAGGCATGAGGGGGTGAGAGGGAGGAGAAACAAAGGCATGAGGGGGTGAGAGGGAGGAGAAACAAAGGCATGAGGGGTGAGAGGAAGGAGAAACATAAAGGCATGAGGGATGAGAGGGAGGAGAAACATAAAGGCATGAGGGGGTGAGAGGAAGGAGAAACATAAAGGCATGAGGGGTGAGAGGCAGGAGAAACATAAAGGCATGAGGGGGTGAGAGGGAGGAGAAACATAAAGGCATGAGGGGGTGAGAGGGAGGAGAAACAAAGGCATGAGGGGGTGAGAGGGAGGAGAAACAAAGGCATGAGGGGGTGAGAGGGAGGAGAAACAAAGGCATGAGGGGTGAGAGGAAGGAGAAACATAAAGGCATGAGGGATGAGAGGGAGGAGAAACATAAAGGCATGAGGGGTGAGAGGGAGGAGAAACATAAAGGCATGATGGGGTGAGAGGGAGGAGAAACAAAGGCATGAGGGGGTGAGAGGAAGGAGAAACATAAAGGCGTGATGGGATGAGAGGGAGGAGAAACAAAGGCATGGGGTGAGAGGGAGGAGAAACAAAGGCATGAGGGGGTGAGAGGGAGGAGAAACAAAGGCATGAGGGGGTGAGAGGAAGGAGAAACAAAGGCGTGATGGGATGAGAGGGAGGAGAAACATAAAGGCATGAGGGGGTGAGAGGAAGGAGAAACATAAAGGCGTGATGGGATGAGAGGGAGGAGAAACAAAGGCATGAGGGGGTGAGAGGAAGGAGAAACATAAAGGCGTGATGGGATGAGAGGGAGGAGAAACATAAAGGCATGAGGGGTGAGAGGGAGGAGAAACATAAAGGCATGAGGGGTGAGTGGAAGGAGAAACATAAAGGCATGAGGGGTGAGAGGAACGAGAAACATAAAGGCATGATGGGTGAGAGGAAGGAGAAACATAAAGGCATGAGGGGGTGAGAGGGAGGAGAAACATAAAGGCATGATGGGGTGAGAGGGAGGAGAAACATAAAGGCATGAGGGGTGAGAGGGAGGAGAAACATAAAGGCATGATGGGGTGAGAGGAAGGAGAAACATAAAGGCATGATGGGTTGAGAGGGAGGAGAAACATAAAGGCATGAGGGGTGAGAGGGAGGAGAAACAAAGGCATGAGGGGGTGAGAGGAAGGAGAAACATAAAGGCATGATGGGGTGAGAGGGAGGAGAAACATAAAGGCATGAGGGGGTGAGAGGGAGGAGAAACAAAGGCATGAGGGGGTGAGAGGGAGGAGAAACATAAAGGCATGAGGGGGTGAGAGGGAGGAGAAACATAAAGGCATGAGGGGTGAGAGGAAGAAGAAACATAAAGGCATGAGGGGGTGAGAGGAAGAAGAAACATAAAGGCATGATGGGGTGAGAGGAAGAAGAAACATAAAGGCATGAGGGGTGAGAGGAAGAAGAAACATAAAGGCATGAGGGGGTGAGAGGAAGGAGAAACATAAAGGCATGATGGGGTGAGAGGGAGGAGAAACATAAAGGCATGAGGGTTGAGAGGGAGGAGAAACATAAAGGCATGATGGGTGAGAGGGAGGAGAAACATAAAGGCATGAGGGGTGAGAGGAAGAAGAAACATAAAGGCATGAGGGGTGAGAGGAAGAAGAAACATAAAGGCATGAGGGGGTGAGAGGAAGAAGAAACATAA